ACATCTAAGGTTTCCAAAGGGGTCCACACCTCCATTTGAAATTTTGTAGGTGTCCACCAATGAGAAAAGGTTGAAAACCACTGTGCTAGGCCACTCTGCCTCACTAAGAGACTGTCTACACTGCAACTGAAAGGGGTTATTACAGCCCGTGTAGACATTCCCAAGCTAGCTGTGATCTAGCTAGATCCCAGCTAGCTTGAGTAACAATAGCAGCGAAGCCCTCTCAGTCTTTCTGCTGAAAGGAGCTGCAGCTGGACAGGTGAGTGAGCCCTCATTTGCACACTCACAGAACACCAAACAGTGCCTGTGACCATTTTCCACTTGCCCCCATTCTCTGACAAGATCACACCTGGCATGTAAAATTTGGCCTAAAGTGAGTTCTGAAATCTGACTTCAGTTACCCCAATGTGAATTGGGAGTGACCCCAATTAAGTATATGGAGTTAAGTGGTGTAAATCAGGACAAGACCAGTGACATCTAGGCAGTTAACTGGTGTAACTCCAGTGAAGTCTACCTGCTGTGAATCAGCAGCAACTCCGGTAAGGCGTATGGAGTTTCTCCAGGATAAAGTGGAGTAAGAGGTAGATCAGGCCCTCAGTCTTTATTAATACTGCTAAAGTATTTCTCCAGCTAAAAAGAATTGCCCTTCAGCTGTCTCCTGGGCTATGAGGGAGGCGTGCTTGTTTGAATAAGGAAATGTATTTGCCCTCAGACTCTAGAACAACAGAGTGGCTCATCCAAAGTCCAGTGCTTCAGGATTTTATTACCCACTAAAACAATCTGGTTTGTCTTTCCTGCTAGGCATCTGTTTCCCCCTCACTGCCACTCATGTTCCAGCTGTAAAAGCCAACGTTCACCACCTATTCCTAGAATAACAAATACAGTCCTGGAGATTCAAGGCAATTTATGTGTGACCTAGGAGTGGTGCCTGTGACCTCTGCCTCTATAAACACCACTCTGCTCCCAAGGGCTTTGAACACTCCTCTGTTGGCTTGGGGCCCAAAGCCTCCCCCCTCTAAAAAACCAAACGCTAGTTTCTAAAAATATTGATTTTTCTTTAATTAAACCAGTTTTTAGGGGGAAATTTGTTTTCCCTGCCATGTTTACACCTTGTCAGCTAAAGATCCCTCTGGGCTGTTCTGTGGGGGCTGGCTTGACCTTATAAAAACACTAGTCACATCCTGGAACACGGGGTACTTCTCCAAACTCTGTGATGGGCCCGGATGGTAACTGGCCCACAGAGTGCACTGCTGTTATTCTATGGTCACCCCCCAGTGTAATTGCAGACCAATGGGATCAAGTAGGTGTAAGGCCTGCCCTGCTTTGCACCGTGACTGCAGTGCACCCTCGTACTAGTAATGGACAATACTGTGGCATATTTGTACAAAAGCAATGGAAACCACTGCAAATCACACAGGTTAGACAAGGGACCTGCTAGAGCGCTTTCCATGAACGCTTCTGGCCCTGACGTATGTGCGACTGCACCCAAAATGCAGCCAAGGGATGGAGGAGTTAGGAAGCAATGTGCTCGGACAGCTCTTAGACTAGCACTCTGCACCCACCATATCACCACAAAACGCAGCAAGGCCAGAACTAATCAGCCATTGCTGGGGGCCTGCGTGTTCATTGCTAAGCACTGGGAGCACCGTGGACTTGGGAACGTTTTTTTCCCCTTTCAGCTCCACTTGCCATTTTTCCTTTGCTTTATTATCTCCCAGCCCTTCACACTGAATGTCCATGCCTGCTTATCATTCCCTGGTACTTAGCAACGCCATTATTTCCTTGTCTGCCTTGCTGATAGTGCCGAGCAGCCCAGCAGTGCCTGCCTGGCTGCGTGCTTTCTTCTGCTATGGTAATGCTGGGTTCTCAAAGGAGCCTTTCATGTCACCAGGAGCCCCCGGCTGCTTTCCAGAGCATTCAGCCACTATGGGCTCTTGTTTTACAACTTGACAACTATGTAAATGGAATGGGAACATGGTTCAGCGAAGCTAGAGATGTGAGAATGGGCCTGCAGGCTGCGCAATTCACTGTCTTGCATTATTTATTTATTAGTAGTATTTATTATTATTTATCATTTGTGCTGTGGTCACATCTAGGAGCCCCAGTCACGAGCCAGGACCCCGTTGCGCTAGGTGCTGTGCAAATACAAGAAAGAGCCATTGTAACTGGATGGCTTGCCCTGCTGGGCTGGAGACCTGGCGCTATGCCAACCCTGGTTTGAAACAAGCCCCACCTGAGGGGAATCAGGTACTTCCCTAAGAGAACCAAAAAATGAGAGAAGACTCTGGTAGCGGGAGCTTGGAGGGAAAAGCCCAGTGAGCAGGAGGCAGTGGGCGAGGGGACCCCTGACTGTGTTTGGGACTGGATGTCAGAGCCCCAGGGAGGGAGAGCTGGGAGGACTGGCCAGGAGCTGAGAGTTGAAAGAAAAGCCCTGGGACTGAGAAAAAATGCCAGTGCTATGTATGGACTTCAGTTTGGGACTCTGGGTTGTTGTGAACTGGTTCTGATATTAAACTAGCCCCAGGCAAGGGTATTGTTAAGTAATCGGAGAAAGCCCCTGTGAGTTCTTAAAGGGCCCTGAAGAGAGGAAACAAACAGAGGTGGGGAGCCTGCAGAGACACCTCTGCCCAGAAGGGGGTGCTCAGTAAGAGGCCACCCCACTATAGACAGTCCCTGCCCCAAAGTGCTTACCATCCCCAGCTGCTTTAGTTCTGCTTGGGTAGTGATGGGAGCAAGGCACCCAATTTGGATCTAAATCACACATGATGAAGTCCAGGGATGCGGGACTGCAAGGAGGGGATGTTAAGTTCAGCCTGGAGCAGCTTGCATTCTTTCTACACTTACTAGTTTGGTGCCAGTTGTGTGCCCAGAAATGCACACAACAGAACACACAGACAGTCCCTGGCCCAAATGCTTTCATATAAAACATCACATTTGAGGATTTGGGGTTCAGTTTGGCCTATTATGCACCTGCAGCTCATTTGAAGAATTGGGATCCAGATAAGGATTTGGCTTCCCAAAGCTCAGAAACATTTCAATTAGGACAATAGGTTCCAAGGCCATCGTGAGACCATTGTGATCATCTAGTCTGGCCTCGTGTATAACAAAGGCCAGAGAACTGCCCTACTGAACTCAAACCTGTTTATCTGAGGAGTTGGATTCCTGACCCCTGGTGAATGTAGCATACAGATCATTACTGTGTGTACAAGCTCCATAAAGGACAATGTACATTGAGAACACATCCACGATCCTCCTAATGGTTAATGCAGCTTCTCATAATAATGAACTCACTGCTGTCGCTTTCCCTGATTAAACATTACCCTGGTTTAACCAGAACAACATATTGATTGCCCCTGCAGATTTTCATGTGGCAGGAGAACCTGGGGAAGGCTAAAGTGTATACTCCCCAGCCCTGCCCTGCAGCCTGCTAGAATCCAGGAATCTATAAAACATCCTTGTGAGTCTCATTATCAATGTGGAAGTCGGATCAGAGGTGACAACCTCCAGCCTGTGGTGCTTCCTCCTTGGATGCTTACAACACTGTGTCCTGGAACTTGTCACCTCCGCTCTCAGTGTGTATGGGGAGCACCAATCCATTCCTTTTCACATCCTCTAGCTCCGGGCTAATCAGCCGTTAGCTGGGCATCGCCTGGGCAGGGGCTGTACGACAGGGCCATCCCACAGGGTGTATGGCAAGGAACCCACCATACCTTGCCGTCCACCCAGCTCTGGCCTAGTTTCAGACAAGGGTTTACACGCAATATGCCTTAAGCCAGACCCTGGTGCCAGGAGCCCCTTTGTGCTAGTGCGTTAACTGGAGCCTGAACCTCCCTACACACAAACAGGAAGCTGCATGCGGCTGATTGTAAACAGTGCGAGCCTCCCTCCCACGCTATTGCCATGCTGGCAATGGGCCCAGGCGCAGCAACGCCAGCCTCACTACTGCCCTAGCGGCTCCCAGCGCAGCCCCGCCCCACGCCCACCTCTCTCGCGTGCTCATTGGGGGCGCCAGATTTGTTTACCTTATATGGTCAGGTACTAACACAGCATGGCCGATGACTGGCTGTCCTGACACGTCACTCAGCGGACGTCAGCCTCCCCTGTAAAACTATGCAAACAAACCATGGGCTCCTGGGAAACGTAGTGCTGGGCACCTTACCTACCTGGGAGCGGGGTGCCTGCTGGCTGCTCAGCCTGGTGCGGGGAGGGGACTGACTGCCTGGCAGTGCTGGTACTAGCCCATGGGGGGCCTTAAGCAGGAATATTTGGGGGACCCTGCTCACACAATACATGCTATAATTAACAGGGGGCTCCTGGAGCTGCTCCAGGTCTGAAGCCATGGCTCAGGCGGGTTATGCAGAGCCCTGGCTCTGCTGACCAGAGTCAGCCACTTTCCTGGCGTGTGACGGGAGCCCCGCTGCTGGGTCTGAGAGCGGCTGGCAGGGCAGCGGTGGGAGGGAGGCGTTCTTCGCCAGACAGGGCGGCTACACGCCTGTCCTGGCTCCCAGACACAGCTCCACGCACCCTACGCGACAGCCTATTTCCTAGCCTGTGCAGGGTGAGTCCCCGCGGTGGGGACGGAGGGGAGCCCCCAGAGCAGCCCTGCGGTGCTTTCTCTGCTTTTAAAACTGGACCAGGCAAAGGAAGCGCTAGGAAGCAACGCCGCTATGGCCTGTGTACCAGCGGCGGGGCTGTCCCACCTCCTTGGCCAACGCGAACAACTGCGGCCTTGACGCAGCCCACGTTAGCCTTGCCTAGGCCCGGCCAGCGCATGAGCCCATGGCAGCGGTGCATGGGGTCAAGTCCCGCAAAGGACCCGTTGCTCTGTGGCGCGCAGAGGGGACTTGCTCTGCCAGCCTGCCTGTGTGCACGGGTGGGTCCGCTCCAAAGCTTGTCTCTCTCACCAACAGAGGCTGGTCCAATGCCAGCTGTTACCCCACCCGCCTGGCACCGCAGCTAGCCAGCCCAGCCTCTGGACTACAGCTCCCAGCCTGCCCGCCCGGCCCCGCCCTGGCTGTGCCGTCAGGGAGGCCAGGCTGGGTGAGTCAGTCCCCTGCCTCCAGTAAATATTTGTATTAGCAGGAGCCGGCTCTGTAATGGTGGCTGCGCTGTGAGCGGCGCAGACCCAGGGACCCCAGGGCACGGCAGGCGGCATGTCGGTGAACATGGACGAGCTGAAGCACCAGGTCATGATTAACCAGTTCGTGCTGACCGCGGGCTGCGCCGCCGACCAGGCGAAGCAGCTGCTGCAGGCGGCGCACTGGCAGTTCGAGGTGAGCCCCCAGGGCGAGGCAGAGCTGGCTGGGCGGGGGCGCCCTGCCGGGGGGGCCGCCATCGCTGCCCATTTGCAGCACCGGCGAGGTCACGGCTGGCCTGGCCCTGCAGCCTGGGGCGCCGCGGAAGGGCTGGGGCGGCCGTGGGGCAGCTGGCGAGCAGACCCCCGCCGAGCTGGAGGGCGCGGGTGGGGCAGGAGGGGTTTCCTGGCGCTGTGCTACAGCCCGCGCCGCGGGGGGAGCTCAGCGCGGCCAGCCCCGATCGGTGCCTCTGGCGCCTCAGCCTGGCACCTCGGGCGGGCCGGGGGCTTGAGCCTGAGGGGGCGGTGGAGGCAGGAGGCGTGGGGCTCCAGGGCGTGGGCAGTGCCGCTGCGGAGAGGAGCCCCAGTGCTGGGCTGGGGGGCCAGTCCGGAGCAAGCCTTGTGCCCAGGGTGTGAGCCAAGCCATCTGATCTGCCCACCTGGCTGCTGTGTCCAGAGCAAGCCCCAGGGCACTCACAGCGGCCCCCAGTGGGCTGCCATGGAGTGAATGTGGGGAGAGGGGAGCCTGAGAGGCCCCAGTGCTATATGCCCCCATCCTGCCCCACAGAAGGCTAATCCCGGGCACCTCCAATGTGCCGTAGCTGCCGCCAATTGCTGCGGGTGCCCCAGGGTCTGGCGGATTGGAAGGTGCCACAGCTGGGGCTACTGCCACAGTTCAGGGAGTGGGCGGTGGGACCGGGAGTTGTTTGGGATACGACCGCCTGTGCCAGCATCTCTGCGCTGCCCTGACAGACGTTCGTGTGTGCCATGTGTGTGTGTTCAGCACACCCGCTTCTGGGGAACGCTCCATGCCGTCATGGTACTGCTGTTTGTCAGGCCCATACAGGTCAGCCTCCCTAGGCCAGGGGTGGCTTTTCTGTCTCTGACCATTCTTGGGAAAGAAGACCGCCATCAGTACTGTCACTGCGGCGCTGTTTTAGTGTTGGTGTGAATTGTGTATGTGTACGTGGATGGGGTATATGTGTACAGCCCTGTTTGTATTAGATGTGTGTGTACGAGTGTATATATGTCTAGTGTGTGAGTACTATATAGCAGGGGTGTATGTCTGTGTATGGGGTGTGCTTGTCTTCTGCCTGTGTTATTAAAGTGGGACTGTGTTTCATTGCTCCCAGATGGTCAGGGTTTCCCGAGGCTGGCTGTAGCAGATCCACAGGGGCCACCCACCCCTTTCTGGGCCCCACTCAGGAGTGGATTTGCTTTTAAAAGGAGGTAGAAGGAACACACACAGAGCATACGCGCAGTGTTGGGGCGAGCTCTGGCACTGCTAGGGCAGTCTTTCTGAGCTCACCTGTACTTGGTGCTTGGGGGGAACATAGCAATAACTGACCTTATGTGCACTCCCGCAACACCTCCCCCTGTTCCCTGCAGGCAGAATGATGCCCCTTAGTGGCTGTGGGTTGAAGAGCCCCGGTCTGGCCTTTCCTATGTTCCTGTCCCCTGGGGTTTGATTCCTAAGGCAGCACCAGGAGAAGAGGTTTTGCTGGTTAGAACTTCATTGGCTCCAACTGCTTATTCCTTTGGCCTGGAGTCAGGATCCTCTGTGACATCGACAGTGATTGCTGGGGAAGTGACTGTGATGTCACTCGGGATTGCAGCTTCAGGTGGGGAACATGCAGGCGGACTGTGCGAGCGCAGTAGTCCCAGAAAGCTCCCTGGTGGTAAAGAATGGGAGTGTGTGCGTGCTCAGGGGATGGACACAGCCCTGTCTGCTACAAACAAGATGTTTTCCATGCGGCACCAGCAGCTCTTTGCAGCTCAGTGTGACGGTTTTGTCACTAATGGCACTGTTGTAATTAGCGTGTCTGTTCTGTGACACAGAAGGAGGTTTGAGTCAGTGTAGAGAGCAAGAGGTTTCTACTGCACACATTAGCATGGCTGGGGCATCCCTTGTTCTATATGCACTATAAAAGAAACAATTCTGGGTGCATTTTATAGCATGGAGTCACTTGACTCCCTGTGCTTCTGGTTTGATCAGGTAGTTTAGACAGCTAGATACTGTATTCACAGGTTTTCTGGGTGCAAAATCAGAGGCTGATGGTCAAAATCAGACTGTCTGTGTGTGTGTGTGCATGTGCAAATCCAAACAGATGAATATCTCACACTCTCTCTGTGCACTGACTATGCACACCGAGAGAGGCACCCACAAGGCAAGCCCATCTGTATATTTTCAGATTTTGCAAAAGGAAATATTGGACACATTTACATGTGTAGTATGACCTAGTTTCTGTTCACCAGTGTAAATGAAGAGGAGCCCTACTGGACATTGTAAGACAGGTGTGAGAGAAGGATCAGACCCTGCCACCTTTTACGTGTGAAGCACCAGGAGTAGGAACTTGCGACAGAAAGTTATTGTTTCAATTACATTTTCCAGAAATTTGCCACTATTTGGCAAGTTGCACAAGTGCAAACAGCAGTGTGCTGGCCATGGGTCTCCCGTGCTGGTTTGGCACTTGCATGACTCAGAGGAAGCTCAGCTGTAAACAACCCAATGGGACAAGTTACCAGTCACTTTTGGTGCAAAATGCTCAGATAATTCCCTTTGCAAAATGGCTGCTGAGCATGCCCCCTTCTCAGAGCTCTGCTCTAGGAGTACTGTCTTCCGGGTACTCCAAATCCCTCTCAGTCTGAGCCCATGATCTGCGTTTGCAGAGTATTGTTACTCCACCCCCTTTCACGGATGCCCTTCTCCAGGCTGAACCAGCTCCTCGGCGTGTATGACTCTCTGGAGTTCAGTGGAGCTGTGCTAATTGATTGATGCATACTGTATTGTATGTATTGATGCATACTGTCTCTTTCACATGGGGGACCACATTGCTCCTGTTACTCAGAACTCCGTAACCCATGATCCCATGAGCATTATTATGTGCCTCTCCTGCATCACACCGTGGCCCAGGGACAGAGAGCGCGGCCCAGCCACTAGTGTTTCACTGGCAGCTGATGCTCCCACTCTCTTTGGGCACGATGGTCCATTCCCATTTAAACTAACATTTCAAGATAATAAACTGCCTGACAACAAAGCTGAAATGAGTGACAAAGCAACAGGAGTTGGCTGTTCCTGCTGCATCTTTGGGCTTGTCTAGAGGAGAAGTTTACTGGCATAACTCTACTAATATAATTCTACCAGTCTAGTTACACCAGTGTCACCCCTTGTGTGGATACTCTGATACCAGAATAAGGATCTCCATCCGGGGTTATACCAGTTTAACTAGAGTGGTATCATTACACTGGTAGAATTATGCTGGTAAATTTCTCCATCTAGACAAAGCCCTTAAATACATACAATCTGCCCCATTTACAGCCCTTCCGGACTGCTCCATGCAGCAGGGTAATGCTTTAACCTTTGATCGCTGTGCTATTTCCAAGCGTGTGATACTTGGGCTGTGCTCATTTAAGGGCTGGAGGGAGTGGATCTGGGGAGTGAGAAGTGTTTCCAGCTACTGGGAGGGGGGTTGCACAGGATCACATGAACACACATTGCAAACTCTCTGGGGGCAAGGGCTGTCTGTGTTTGTACAGTGCCTAGCACAATGGTGGTCCTACTCCATGACTAAGTTTCTAGGCTCTGTGGTAATATTGCACATCATAATAATGAGGGGGCATTTCCTTCAGCAGGGTTGGGGTGCACAGTGGGGAAAGGAACCAGCAGTGGGTGGGGAGGCCAAGTTGTTGTGCTCTGGGGCAGGGGAATTGGAAGGTAATCTTGATGGGAGGGGGTAGGGATCAGCATTTGGGGGAGCTGTAGGAGGCATTTGTCTCTGAGGACAAGCACACTTGTCTTTAGTTCCTTTGGGGTGAGCTTCACTCTTTCTCAGCATTGCAAGGGTTAGTAGTGAATTTCTGGGCTCCTGTCATTTTGCCACCCAGCCTCTCTGGGCTGTTTGGGAATTTCCAAATCTGTCTATTCACATCAGAGGAGAATTCCGGTCCCATAAGAGCCTTGGTACCCGGTAACCCACACAGTCTCAGGGAAAAGCTGACAGACAAACCAAGGGGCTGGGTGCTCTTGATTCACTGGAGCTGGGGATTGTTGGTAATTTACTCTGTAAAACGTGTGTTGACTTTGTCCTGATCAGAGGCTGGTCTCCAGAAGGGATTTATTCAGCATTTACCAATGAGTGAAGCTAAATCTGTTGTCAGCAAAGCTGAGATCGCAGGGATCCCATCTGCTCAATCATAGCGGTGTACTTCAGGAGGAGACTCACTCAAGTCTATTGAATTGTTCCAGATTCATCCCAATGTACCTGAGAGCAGAACCTGGCCCTACCTGTCAATTGGTAACTGTTGGTAGGTGAAGCACCTTCAGATCATGCATCCTCTGGGACAAACCCACACATTGACATCCTTGTGCAATGCGAAGATTACTGTGTTGCGGTGCACTGCCATGGTGTCAGAACACTGCCCGGGCCCCAGCCGTGTTACATGATGCTCTCAATGTCCTGCAAGTCTCCATACGGCCCTGTCAGATCCAGCAGGCCAGGAGCTCCCAGGAGGTATCTGATATCAATGGGGAGGGAAACATAACCAAAGACAACACACGCTTGTGGGGCGGGAGGTTGGGAAACTGTTAGTTTGTATCCATGTAAGAGGATCACAGCCTGCAACACATTAAAAAAGGCCTGAGAAGGAAATCATTCATTTTGAAGGAACATTTTCCTGTCTCTGGGAAATGGGGTGGCTCCAGGGAGTTGGGGGTATTTTGAGGGTTCCGTCTCTGGCTCTTTCACTAGCCCTAAATTCACTCCCATTTGAATATGGAAACGAAGGCAGATTTTTCTCTCTGTGCTTTTTTTTTTTTTTTTTTTTAAAGTTTGCTGCTGTTGCAATGATGTCAACTTTGTTGCCACCGTTTAGGGGGTGGGATTGGGTGTGTGCCACCAGGGGATTGGCTGTTCCCATGTGCCCCTCCTCCTGATGGAGGCGTTCCATCCTTGGATTAGACTGGTGGCTTTCCAAGGCTCGGGGAGGGGGAGCGTTCGGGAGCCGCTCCTGGTGGGTGACTCTCCCCATGGGCCAGGCTGTTATTGAGCGGGCCAGGAACAGTAACTCCACCCAGCCAGTGGAAGGACATGAAAAGGGTTTCACTGAGATATTTACAGAGCACACATGGGGCTGTTTGTGAAATATAAGAGCTTGCAATAATTCCTAGGGCTCGATTCCCTTCTGCCGCTATAAATGCAGGGGAGCAGCGGGGAAGAAGAGAGACACCACTGAAGTCAGGGGGGCTGCACCAGGGTGAAACCAGAGTGAACGAGAAGAGGATTAGTTGCTTCATTTTGCATGTGTGCACACACTTCTGTGTCCTGCCTAGATTCATGTCTGGACCATCCACTTCACCCACTTACATTCCTTTGTTGTTGTAAGGCAGGGCAAACCACAGTCTTGCCCAGCAGCCACATCCTGCTGCCCTTCTCCCCCCAGACTCCGAAACTGCAGCCCGTGCTCACCCTCCAACTGCTGATCTGATCTACTGCCCATTCTGTTGCTGGGGAACACAGCTATCGAGCAATTATTGGGCCTCTTTGGTGAAAGGCAGGAAGACTAGTAGTCTGCCAGGTGCCTTTAGTAGCAGTGGGCACCAGGATCAAACAATGCCTGGAGTCCTGTTTAAATTAACTGAAACCAGGGAGTCTCACCCTTCTAGCTTCTGTGTCGCTCCTTGAACACACCAGGGGCTCCCTGTGGGCCACCCTCCCACCTCCCAGGTATTGCAGGGACATACTACAGACCCCGATCTCCTCCCTCATTCCAGGGGCACTCCATTGCTCCCTCTGCCACATGCCAAGAGCTCTGGGCCCTCCAATCTCCCCATGCCAGGGGCTGTCTCCTTTTTCTCTCCTGCTCCAAAGGACCTTTCGTCCCCCTGGACAGAAGGGAGGGGTGGGCAGCTGGTGTCCTTTCCTCCCACCCCCAGCCTGGAGCAGGCTTTGGGCAGGCTGTGAACGGCTTCGCTCTCTTTGCCCTCCGACTCCCCTGCTGGCTGAGCACCCACTCTGCTGCTGGGAGACAGCTCAGCGGGGAGAGCAAAGAGCCATTGTTAACTGATGACCACTTTTAGCCCTACCGGGGGCTCTGGGGGCCCCTCCGCATTCATCCTTCCCCCTGCCCATGCCAGGGGCTCTGGGGGCCCCTCCCCATTCACTCTCCCCCCCAGAAGCTCTGGGGGCCCCTCCCCACTGACCCTTTCCCCCATGCCAGAGACTCTTTGTGCCGACCATTCTTCCCACCCTCCATTCTTATTTTCTTCCTGGGTGTCAGAATTTTAAACTCCTTGGGAGGAAGGGCAGAGGTGAGGTGGGTTATTTTGCTAGAAGGTTTTAATGGCTCCATCCACCAGTTCTTTGATCCACCGACAATTTCAGACCTGATTACAGCTGAGGGGTCTGCCAACCAGATGCCAAGGGCTCCGTATGTCCCCTATTTTCCTCCTCCCAGTTTGCCACTTTCCCCCCAGATCAATAGGTTTCTGCCCATTGAGGTCTAGAACATTGCCTGGAATTTTGCAGTTAATCACATTTAGCATTTAAAAATTATCACTTTACATCCAAACAGACAAATGCCATTAAGTGGAGTGTAGGGCCTCAGAAACTCAGCCAATGGAGGCTGCCTGCCCTTAACTAAAACCATATCCCCCTCAAGGGTTAGGGACCAAAAAAAAAAAAAAACCCTTAAACTCCCTGGTCTCCTTTAGCAATAATTGCCTTCCCCTCTCTGAGTTTTGTTCACATTTATGGGGATATAACCAGCCAACTAAATGACTACTAGACCAACCAACTGGCTGGTAGCCAGCTGCCATAAAACCTGAGCTCCCAGCCCCACCTCAGCCACCCGCCCCACCTCATGTGACTTCTCTCAACTGATAAGCTACCCTCTTCAGTTCCTCTCGCCAGGGCTCTAGCCCCTGTTTTAAGGTATGTCTGCCTTATAATCACGGTATAATTACAGTTTGAGTAGCCATACCCAGACTAGCTTTAACCTAGCTAGGTGAGGTCCCAGCACAGCGAAATTGCAGCTGTGTGTTCTCAGCATCGGCTGTACAAACCCAGCTAGAACCTGCACAATTAGTCATGGGACGAGGCGTGCTGGGACGAGGCCAGACTGCGCAGTTTGGGGCATGCTATTGAACCCCCAGAGGTATAGGAAAACTATACCTGCCAGCGGTACAGAGACCCTCAACTTTCTCACTTTGCCTATAGGGGGAGCCAGAGAGCAGCATCTGAATATTATTCTGTTGTCCGGTAGGGACCCGCCCTCTGTCCTCCCATATCACCCCCAGAGAGAGGCACACCTGTTACCCCCCCACCCTGTGGTTTACACAAGCAGATGCCACCACGGCCCTCAGTATTGCAAACATTGGCACCTCTGCGCTAACTGAGCATGGCACACTCTTTACTTCCTCCCCTGAACTATTCCGCAGAGTAGCTGTTAACAGCTGCCGTGGTTTACCCCAGAAGTGGCTGCATTTTGGGGGGTGGTCGAATTGATTCCTACAGGGATATTGTGTGAGACTCTGTAAAATGCTGCGAGGGTGGCAAAACTTGCTATAGAAATCAGTTAACAATATGATGAAAAGACATTGCACTGGGGACATACAGTAAAACACCACAGACCTGATTCTTCTCTCATCTCCGTTCTTATACAGTGTGAACCACTGACTTACCTGGAGTTACTCCAGATTTACACAGTGGGAGAGGAGTGTCCAGTCCCTTCCATCCAACACTCCCTCTGGTCTGTTTGATTGTTTAATTCTCCGGAGTCTCTCAAACTCCCAAATGATTTGGATGTTCCTCAGAATGTCAGTTAAACGGGGATTTCTATGCCAGTGCCTCAGGCTGGTGTTAGGGGATGCTGTGCTGCTGGAGGTGAGACATAAAAGCAAGGTCCTAACTGCTTGTGGTCATTATAGATCCTGTGGCACTTTCCATGAGCGTAGGAGTGCTCGCCCTGGTCTCCTTGTCTAATTCAAGCTTCGGTAATTACATTCCACTACCCTAAATTCTCCCTAGAGCCCCAGTTGGATTTGGTATTCTTCTACACTTCCTGTGCCAAACGGCTGCATAATGTAGTACTGGGCTCCACCCCAGAAATGGCTGCATTTCACCAGTGAGTGAAGTAAGTCCATATGTGTAGCATCTGTCTGTGAAACTAAATGACAAACACCGTTCGCTCTGCAGAGGCCCTTGGAGCTGTTCTGCATGCAGCGTTGTTTGTTTTTTTAAAGAAGACGTGACGGTCTCGGGGGGGTTTCTCTGGAGCCATGGCATGTGCTGACCAAGGGGGCCATGCATGTTTTCGCATGGCATGGAGGCCAGTGCCCAAAGGGGCTATTTCAGAGTGGTTGCAGGGTTCTGATCACATGAGGTGGACTGGAAGTGACACAGGATCCAGAGTTTGGTGGCAAACGGAGGGGCGATTTTGCTTTCACGCACACAGGTGGGCTTCTTCTCTGCTGCACTGCCTGCTCCAGGAGCCCCACCCACCAACAGAGAACAGGACGCTGGCAGTCAAGAGCTACCCATGCTGAGCCGAGAGTGGAGCTGTGCCCTAGTGGAGCCCTACTCTGGGGCATGAGGGAGCTAGACCAAGCCCTAGGCTTGTGCTCCAGAGGGTCGGGTGGAAGAGTGCCTTGTTCCCAGACAAATGATAAATCTCTTCCTTCCTTTTTTGCAGACTGCACTCAGTGCTTTTTTCCAAGAAACAAACATCCCCTACAGCCATCACCATCAAATGGTAAGTGCTTCCCTGACCCTCCCCTTTGCTAAACCGGTGCAGCAGCAGTGCTGGCCTTGCATAGCTGGGCTGCTGTTGCTAATGTCCAGGCCTCTGTTCCACTCCTCCACGAGGGAGGGCAGAAATATACAGCAAAGCCACGGGGTGGGAGGCAGGAAGCTTCCTGCCAAGAGAGAGAAGCTGGGGGTGGGCTGTGTTCTGGAAACATCCATGGGGGGAGCCAAAGGCTCCAGGCTGGTGCGTGCAGTGTGCCTTATTTGGGGTGAGGGTAAATGAGGCCTGCAAGCCAGGGTGCAGTAGCATGCAGTGTGCCCTGTACTGTGGGGAGCACTCTATAGGGAAATGAGAGGAGGAAGAAGCTGTAATTTGCACCTGTCCGATAATGCAAAGCAGAGACTGCGGCAGGAGGGGCAGGCAGGCTTGGTGGGTGGGAGGGAGCAGAGATGTGGGGCAGGCATAGAGGGAGGGGCTGAGAAGGGGGCACTCAGAGCAAAGCCAGGGTAATCCGGAAGGCTGATCCTTGGTACTCTGAGTGCAGGAGAAGCAGGCAGAGGGTGACGGGAACAGGGCTTGGTTCAGCTCCAGTGGCTTGGAGCTGAACCAGACTCATTCCCTTTGGCCCTTCATCCCCATTACTGGACCACCCTGCCCTTCCCCTCCTGGGACTCTAGCTGTGAGAGCCTCCCTGAGAGCTGCAAGCTGGCTAGCTCCATCAAGTCCCCCAGCCCACAAAGATGCCTGACAGGAAACTGAACCCTGCTCTGCCCAGTGGGAAACTTTCTCCCAAGAGTCCATCTATGGGAGGTGCTGGAGGTGAATGCATCCATGGAGTCCAGCGTAGTTCAGTGCACTGGCCACAGGTGGGTGTTGGTGGCCCACTGCTGTTTGTGGTGGCCCTGAATGTCCCATGAGCTCCTGTGCTGCAATGAGCAGGCAGAGTAGGAATGTAGCAATTTCCTGTCCCTCCTGCTGTGTGCTGATGCTAGTCCCATTGCCCTGCACCTGCCGGCCAGCCAGGCCCTTGCTGTTGCTGGCTGGGGAAGTTTGGGTCCCAGAAGAGTCCACAGTGCAGCCTGCACCCCTGACACTAAGGCTGCACAGAACTGCAGTGTTACAGGAGCTCCCAGCGGTGCCTGGAGAAGCTGCCAGTTCCCTGGAGGCAGCTGTGATGCTCTCTGGCCTGGAGACCCTTCTCATGTCTCCTGCAGCCTCCATGGTGTGAAGGGGCCAGGTGGTCAAGGCTCCGTGTCGCTCTGCTCTTTGCACTGCCGATGACACCTATCCCATCTGCCCTGCCACGGGAGGGCTCAGGTGAACGGCCCAGCGGCAGGGCCGGGGATTTGGGATGGCAAAGCCAGCTTGGCCATTTCACCTCCTGGGCGCAAACAGTCACCCCAGACTGTCGAGGGAGCCGCTGCCTGGTGGGCCCTGCTCCAGGCAGTGCAGAGAGGGTGGCTGGCTCTGGCGACAGGGCTGGAATGTGTGTGGGCGTGGGGAGCCCTGATGCCCTGAGCATCATCAGCTTCTCTCCTGGGCCAACGGCATGGGGGCAGCGACTCGTGTGGCGGCTCCTGGCCTGTCTCCTGGGTTGCCACAGCAGAGCCGAGCCCCAGTGAGCAGGCTCCAGGGCAGGGGGAGGTTGCGCTGCTCTTGGGCACTGCCTGGAGGCCGATTGAGGAATAACAGTGCAGCGTGCATGTGGGCGGGGCTCTTGCAGCCTCCCCCAGAGCCCCTGGCCCTGGCAGGGCCACCCCTGCCTCCCCCACACAGGTCCAGCAGCACTTGGCTGCCATGTGCTGAGTGAGGTGAGGGGTGGGCGAGTGGCATCCCAGACAGAGGGGTAGTGGCTGGTTAACGCTCCCTGTCCCGCTGAGCCGGGCTCCTGGCTTCCTGGGCCTAACCTGCAGCCAGCAGTGGGTCCACATGTCCTGCACGACCCAGCAGTGCCAGGTTGGCTTCTCGGTTGGGCCATTCAGTTCCGGGGGAGCTCCTACCCCCACCAGCGCCCCTGGGGCAGGTGGGCTGAATGGAGTCCAGGAGGAGGAACTGACCCCCTCAGAGATGAGAAGCCTAGAAAAGGACCTTGTGGGCCCTGGCATTGGTCCCACTCTGAGTCCATGGCAAACCAGTCTGCTCCACGCCTACCCTGCCCCTCCTTGGGAGCTGCAGCTAGGCTCTGTTGGTGTGACAGGCGAGAACAGAAGGGCCCTGCACTTGTAACATAGCAGATACACGGACATGTGCAGACACACAGAGATATGCAGAAATATATGTGTGCTCTCACAAATGTCTGCTTACACACGCACTCACGGGCGTAGACCACAGTCATAGGCGCACACACACACACTATTTCCCTTTAAATCTCTCTTCCCAGCAGCCCCTGGGCTGCCCAGCAATCTGCCAATTTGCTTCTTGACAGCCTGTGACCCCCCCCCCTTATTCTCCACCCAACACTTTTCCTTGTTATATCTTGCCCACAGAAGCCCCTGGGGTCCCCATGCTCTGCCCCTTTAACTCTCGTGCCTGGGCAGCCTATAATCTGCCTGTGCAGATGGGTCCCTGGGATTTGCTGGCTGCCGTGTCCTCATTTGACTCCACCGTTCTCTGGGGCAATCAGGGATTTGGAGCATGCAGTGAGCATGCAGAGCGAGCACCCAGCAAGAGCCACGCTACAAACAGCCTCCAGCGCAGGCAGCCGAGGGGGTGGGGACAGACAGTGTTGCATGGGGCTGGACACCCTGGAGTCCATTGGGCTGCAAACCGTGAGCTCAGGGCAGGGGCTGGCTGTGTGGAGATGGTGTCCTGGCCAGCTGGTTCTTGGGGTGGCACAAGCTCGCAGGTGAGCGGGAGCCCTGGCTTTGGAATCCAGTCCATCCCAGAGCAGGGGCTCTCAGGCAGGGGGGCCACCTCCCCCTCCCTCATCCTTCCCAAACTGAGTGATGTGTCCCCAGTTGGTTAGATGGGAGGGGGATCCTGCTATGAGCTGGGTGACGGGGGGCTGAGCATACGCCAGGGGGCCAGGGCATCTGGACTGGGGATCCAGTTCCTGTGCATCAGAAGGGCCCCTGGCATATGTCATAAACCACAGTGGGGCTGAGGCCCCCACTTACCCCTCCCCTTTCCTCCCTCCCAGTGTAGCTTCGCCATTCATATTCCCTCATGGGCACCCCCTCCCCTCAAAGGGTCTCTCCCTGGAGCGATGAGGGTGCAGGAAGGGGCTGGATCTCAAGGGTACCATGTACCGCTCCTGTCTGGGATGTTTGACATGAGCTCTTGAAAGACGATTAGTCCTCAGGGGCCTGAAATAACTGCTTCTTGCAGGGAGCAGCCTTGATAGGAGCTGGCAGCCTGGCAGAGCCACCCAGACGTGCTGGCTCCAATACCCACCCCCACCGAGCGCCTGCTCCAAGCCGCTTACCTGCCTGCACGAACCTGCAGGGAAGCTGCAGCTGTGGGCACTGCCCCATCTGAGGAGGGGGAGAGGCTGCAGGTGCAGTCGCCCACCACAGCCCCCACGCCAGGACCCAGCAGAGCCTCAGCCCCTCCTGAGCACAGCGTGCAGGGCACCTTGCTGCGCCTCGCCTGGCCACCCCCAGGCACTGGTCAGAATGGCGAGTAATGTAATCACTGTACTGGGGGGTTCTCAGTCAGCACTGGCCCCCGTGCAGTGCTAGGGGGCGCTGTGCTACAAGGAGCAGGATGGGGGCTCGGTAGGGGTCGCTCTACCCTCTCAGTGCTGACCCCCATGGCCTAGCATACTGCTTGGGGGCTCTGTGCTGTAGGTGGGCAGGGTGGGAGCTCAGTAGGGAGTGCTCTCCTTATGCAGTCAATGCTGTCCCCAGTGCAGAGCTAGGGGCGCTTTCCCTTCCTCGTGCGGACCCCAGGGCATTACAGGGTGTAGTGCTGCAGCAAGCAGGATGGGTCAGTAGGGGGCGCTCTCTGCTGGGAGTGCTGAGTGCACTGCGGTGCTAGTGGGTGCTGTCCTGCAGGGAGCTTTAGGATGAGACGTAAAATGGCTGCCCTGCACCCTTGTGGAGTAAGGCTCAGAGTCGGTTTTCTCAAGTAATAACAGTGTAATGCTTGGTACGGACCTAGCACAGCTCACAAGCTCTGCACAGACGGCGCAAGCGTTAATGTGAATGTTCATGTCAGCGTTTGGACTGAATTCCTCCCCAAATCCACCCCCTGCAGTTTCAATTGGGTACGGTGCTCTTCACTTCCCGGCCCAGACTGTGGTGAGGTGCTGCTTTGCCACTCGGGGCTACACCCCCTGCATTTGACTGCTGAGTGATGTGATCCCCGAATATCTCAACCTTGGCAGACTCCATTAAAGCCCTGGAAGGGGAGGTGCTGTGGTAGCAATAGCTATTACGGATTGCAGCTTGCCATGGAGTTATGGGGTGGGGTGCTGCCTGTCATGCCCAGGGGTTGGATGCTGGGATCCTCTCTGGCCCACCTGGGCTAACACAAATCAGTCGCATCCTTGCCCCAGTGGCAAGGGAAGACGACAGCTCCCGGCAAGTTTGTCAGGGAGGCAGCGGCTCCGAGTTCTGCAAGTGGCCCTTGCTCCCTGGACGGTCCCTGCCAGTGCCGGCTGTGGGGAGGCAGAGGCCTGCAGTGTCCTCCCCCTACTGCTGTGCGTTGTGGAGGCCACGTCTTCCCAAACGCAGTGACGGGGAAGCCACAGGAACCCACCTGACCTTGTGGTGGCTCCTCGCCAGCTCCGGGTTCTGTCAAAGACCAGTGCTGCTGGGAAGGTAGAGCGGGAGAAGAGTGCAGAGCCGCTGACTCCAGCGGGCAGCAGTTGAGGCAAAGCAGGCCTGAGGGACCTCAGCAGAGCTTTGTGTGTGTCTGGGCGTGGGGGGAGCCCAGGACTGGAATTGCAGGGGGCTGCGGGTTAGGATAGAGGGGCACTAGCAGAGCTTGCCCAGCAGCACCGTGTACCATGGCCGGCTCTGGCTAGGGCTGCGAGGCCCTGGCTTCCACGGGCATCAAACTGACACACAGATTCAGTGCTGGGTTACATGGGGAATGTGCCAGCATACCGGTACCGCCGTAATTCTGCTGGCGGCAGTCCCCGGGGGCCACTGTTGCTCCCAGAGTTACCCTGGTATAATTACCGGAGGTTCATTATGCTGGTGAATTTCACTGCATAGACGAGCCCTTAAAGATAGATAAATGTTCCACCCCTGGTGCCCTTTTCCAGCTGCTTGGCCTGCACCAGCTCTCCCCTAGCCCTGCCTGCCTGGGCCTGGCTAGTGTTTGGGTAGAGACCACCGAGGAAAGGCCCAGGTGTGGCAGGGAACCGCGCTGGCGATCCAGCTGCTGGCACTCTTGCTGAGTTAGAACTGATGCCCCTGTGTGGTGCTTGGAGTCCTGGGCTGCTGATTTTTGGGGGAGACCCTGAGCCCTTGGATCATTAACCGCTTCCTGCAGTCAGCCTCCCTAACCGCCCCTGCAGCCTCCCTTGGACGTAGGTCTCGCCCTCATGGCCGGTGGGGTGTTTCCATGCTGTTACACTGTGCCCACTCTCCACCCCAGAACTGGCTGCGCACTGCACTCTCTGGCCCTGAGGGTGAGGGGCTGTGTCTCTGACTAGCTTCTGTCTCTTTGTTCCCCTGCAGATGTGCACTCCTGCCAACACGCCCGCCACGCCCCCCAACTTCCCCGATGCCCTCACCATGTTCTCCCGCCTCAAGGCCTCCGAGAGCTTCCACAGCAGCAGCCCTGTGGCGTCTATGGCAACCTCCCCTCCTCCCCCACCCCCACCGCTCCCCCAGCCCGGGGGCTTCAACCCAGCCTGGCCTGCGGCTCCCCCCCTCCATCCAGCAGCAGCAGAGCATGTGGACTTCGCCCCCGCCCTCGCAGCCATCGGGCTGGCCCGCCACAGTCTCCCAACAAGCCACGTCAGAACAGAAGGCCAACGTGACCATGGAGGCCGAGAGATGAGGCCGCAGGGGAGCAGGAACACGATGTGGGGAGGGCCCCCCTATGGCCCCAGCTTTCATTCCCCCCCCCCCCCCCCCTTTCTGAGGAGGAGAGGAACTTTGTTGCCTCAGAGACTGGCAACCACACTGAGACAGACAGACACGCGAGCAAATAGCCACCTTGCATGGGTTTGGTTTGAAGTAGTTTTTACTTGTCCTAGAGCTGACCAGAGCTCCCCAAAGACCCAGGGAGGCCACGCTGGATGCAGGAGCCATCTCTGGCCTCTGCGTCCCAGAGCCTGACTTTGTAGGAATCTCTCAATGAGGGGACCCCCCCTCCCATCTTTCCTGTTGGGATGCTGGATTTTTGCATGCAAGTGACTGGGGTTGGGGGGGGGGGGGTAAATCCCTTCTTCATGACCCACTTCTCCCTCCTAGCACCTGGAGGGGTCCCACTGCCAGGCAGAACGGGACTATGGGTAATACACATCTCCTCCTCCCTACACGGTTCCCCCAACCCTGCCGAATGGGGGGTTTTTTAAAGAAAAAAGGAGGGGAAAAAAGCATTTCTGCTCAGCTGCAGGCCTCGAACCCATGCACTGAGCTTGCTTTGTACTGAGAGGGAGGGGAACGGGGTCTCCTTTGGAGAAATATAGCCACTTGTTTTCTATGACCCAAGCTCTCTGCTTTCGCCAGAGCGGGGACCTGCACCCCCTCTCAGAGCCTGCGGGATCAGATTCCCATTGAGATGTGTGGGTGAGGCTGGCTGGGCAGTCTCCTCTCATGCTGCCGGGGTGGGGGGCTAGCGCCCTTTGCATGACTCAGCGTATGCCCCACGGAGGCTGGGCTTGCTTTGACACCCTCTGTTCTTTGCTCCCTGCGGGGGGAAGGCCCTTCGGACACGCTCTGGCGACACCAGGCCTGGGCATTCCTCAGTGGCTGCTTGCAATACACGCTCTTCTGCTTTGAACCCTAGTGTCCGTGCTTCGTTTTCAGCAGCCTGGGGAGGCGGGAATGCCTTTTCCGGGGTCAGGGACCTCACCTCACGCCTCCTGGCGCATGCCCAGGCACGCAGTCACACGCAGACAGGGCTCATGAGGGAAGGGATTCTGTTTTATGATGCAGTGATGTGGGAGGGGAGTGGGGCTTCCTCCTCCCTGCCCTCCCCCACTCCCCCCAGGGCTGGGCTATGGGGCAGCGCTCACCCTGGCCTCACAACTGTATTGGCTAGAGACCTGAGAGGGGAAGCTTGACGGGCCGGGAAGCCCTGGGTCCCCAGAGGTAATCGGGGGCTGCTGAACTCCTCACCAGGTGTGAGCAAGAGATTCTCCTCCCCCCTGACAGGGAGACCCAGGAGAGTTGGGATGAGGTGACATCTACTGCCTCCATAAATCACCCCTGCAGCTTGGCTGGAGTGCCCTTTCTCCTCGCTGCCTGTGTGGGCTTGCGCTAATGTTATACTGTGGCTGCGTTCTGCCCCAGAGGTGGCTGCATGTGGGGGGGGGGGGTTTGCTGGCATAAGAGGTGCTTCTCTTCGAGGGTGAGGTGCTATGTGCGGGGAATTGCACCAAAGGGGAGCAGGAAAGCAACTAGCCCTCAGGCTGCAGAGGTAACTGAAAGCTACATTTCCCAAGGGCTTTGCTGCAGCCATGTCTGAGGAATCCAGAGTTGTGTGGCCCAGAGACAGAGAGGCTCCATACACGTCAGACAGGTGGCAGGAGAGGAGCCATCCGCAGGCCGTGCTGCTAAGAACTCCCCAAGCTTTCCTTAGTCTGAGTGACTGCTGGTGTCTAAGCAAAGCGTGCTGGGAAAGCTACCCCGCTCCTCACTATGGCAGGACCTGCCACAGGCATCAGGGGCAGCATCCTCTGCCCAGAGGCGGAGCACAAGCCAAAGCTGCTGCGTGCCTCGTACGAGGGCGCTGCCCAGCCAGCGCTGAGCAGCACGGGCATTTGGCGTCCCTCGATCCGTCAGTCCGGACATTGGCTGAGGCCCTGGAGAGGAGCAGTCAGTGGGGTGGAGGGAAAGGGCTGGTGGCCAGGAGTGAAAGGTGGAGTGGCTGGAACAATGAACCCCATGGGACTGTGAGTGAGAGGCAGCTATCTGAGCTGCTTAGTGCTCTGTCCTGTGGAGGGGCGGGCGGAGGGGACTGCTGGGACATGGCTCTGCACGGCCTGTTCAGTGCTCACACCGTGGGTCTGATGCGGGAGGCCAGGTACGGGGTTGCGGGCAGCAGGACCTGGACTCTGGCTGTGGCAGTAGCCAGTGCACTGTTCCCTCCAGGTGTTGTGGCTGCTGGAAGCCCAGGATGAGCTAAGCATATCCACAGGGGCTGGAGCTGGCATGTCGGGGGGCTGATGGGCGAGCAAAGTATGGCTGGACTTTGACACCCCCCGGCAGAGGGGGGCATGCTGCTGGGTTTTCTCAGTGCTCCCCCCCAGCAGCAGGCTCAGCGTGAGGCATGTTCTGGCTGCAGGACAGGTCTTTGGGGAGCAGACAGTGGCAAAGACCAGCCTGGCACAGCTCCCTGGGCAGGACCAGAACTCATGCCCAGCATGGCCCCCCCCCACAACAATGGCCTGGAGTTAGCCCTTGAAACCAGGACTTCTCTACCCAGAATGCATTGCTGCTGCAGCTTTCTTGGCCTGCCGGAGACTCGAGGAACTTAAGCCCGTTCTAGCTGACTGAGGGGTGCTGCTGATTGGGGGCTCGGTGTTGGTGCGCTGGCCCAGAGGCTGCTCATGTTACCTGGGTTGAGTGCATGGGAGAAGCTCAAAAATGGCTTGGAAAGGAGAAGATGGTGTTGCCCAGACAGAAGCCTCGGGGCAGGGATGGGGGGAGGCCCAACCCAGAATCACCTGTGGGGTCATTTGCAGGTTCCATACAGCCCTTGGAGTTCTGTGCCTGCAGCCCAATGCATGGCTGCTTTGGTGGATCTCTACCCGGCCCTTTGGCTGTGTTCATTGCTGTAGGGTCTGTCCTTCTGTGGACCCATGTGGCAGGGGATCTCAGAAGGGATTTCAGTAGATTTCACGTGTGGGGAGGTGACAGTCTGTCTGCACATGGGCAGAGCCTGCAGTCAGCTCCGTGTGGGTCCTAGGGCTGGCAGTCAGGAGGAGAGGTGTTCACGTGCAGCAGGAGTGGGATGGTCTCTCATGCTGCCCCCTCATGCAAGGTCAGTCCGTGGCATGGGCCACATCTGTCCCGCCATCCTCTGGTGCCACCCCGAGCAGCTGGCAGCCCTCCCAGGAAGGTCATCCTGCGGGATGCAGGGATGGGGAATCGACGGAGGGTCTGTGCTGGCATTTCCTATGTGATCCTGGGACACGTCAGCAGGAGTGACCAGCTTTGGTGTGTTGGGTGAGACCACCGCAAGGGCAGGCACATTCCTCTTCAATGCCTGATGCCTGGCACGAGCTGGCAGGGACCAGCAGAGGAAGCTCTGTGCCCATGCAACATCTTTGAGCTCTGTCCTTCCACGCCCAGCCCTTGGAAGGAGTCAGCAAAGGCCCTTTTCCCATGCTGTCCTTGCTGCCTTTCTTCTGCTCCCAATGCCCTCAGAGCCATGCTCCCTCTGCAGTGTGGCACCTGGCTCAGGAAGAAGGGGCTTGTGCTCCCATTTTAGTTCCCTTAGTGACAGAAAATGGGCCCAGGCTAGGTGGGGCTTGCACAGTGCAGGAAGCAGATGCCCAGCTGCACTGGCAGCGGATTTGCAAGCTGGTAGGTCAATGCCAGCTGCTCTGAGCACCCCCAAGCCTCCTCCTTAGCCACTTCGTGGATTTCATTGGATATCAGTGGATGTGATGTAGAGATGGTGTCCAGGCTCAGCAGCAGGCTGCCATATACAGATGTGCTAGGATTGGACCACTTCACACACAGGATCTCCAGGTTAGTTAGCACCCCAGAGTTCTGCCTTCATGGTCCAGGGCACAGTAATGCTTCCCCGGGCTGGCCACTAGAATGGCCCAACCCGCCCATTCTGGTCTCGGTGCCAGCAGTCAGCACAGTGAAACCCTAAGCCATGGCTTCTCTTGTGCTCAGGGCCAGCCAGGAGGTCTCCAAGGCAGAGGAGCAGCGTGAAAGGGACGGGCTTCCAGCTGGAGAAGGCACCTGCCCTGGGTGGCAGGGCCTGGAGGAGGGCAAGAAGACAGTCTAGTGGGAGGACCCAGCTTCCTACCTGTGCTGAACCCAACCTGCATCCCACAGTTTCCATTCCCCCTGGGGAGGGCACACAGCCAGGTCAGTGCCACGTTACTGGTGTGGGCAGTGCTGGAGCTCCCAGGATGTCACCTACAGCGTGGGGCACCCCCTGAACTAGGCCCAGAATGCACAGCTCCAGTCCAGCCTCCACTTCTTGCCACAGAACCAGCACTAGGCATGAGCAGACTTAGCAATGGCTTAGGGCCCCGAGCAGCTCAAGAGGGCCCTCTATTTGCTTTTTTAGTATGTGATGATGGGTGTGGGGAGGGACAAACATATTCCTTCCTGGGGCCCCCAATGGGCTAGCACTGGCTGTGCCCTGCCGGCAGCACTGGGAGAATCTTCCGATTCCCTCTTCTGTCTGGATTCACTTACTAGTTGCATGCCCAGCCCCCTCCTTTCACACCTGTTCCTGAGCCCTGGTTCTTCCCCTGCTCCCAGGGGGTACTGTCACTCCAAGGGGCCCTGCCACAGCATCTCCCCGGGGGCTGTAACAATGCTGCTCCCACAATAGTTGTGGACTCTCATTAATAATTCAATCCCTTTTGTGTGTGTGTTGCTAAAATAAACACTGGCCCTACCAACAATACCACCCATGCCGCCTACTGTCTTCCTTCTGCCCAGCCTCTAGAGACAAGCAAGCAGGACGTACTGCAGCTGTTCACCAGAGGATTCTGGAAGATGGGGCATCCTGTCCAGAAGTTCTCCCGCAGCTGGAGAAAGGCCCTCCCACCATATGCCCACCTTTTAGGATGAAAGCTCCCCAAAGCACTCTACAGATCAGTCACTTCACCCACCACTGAAATTCAGCCACCTCTGGGGGATTGCACAACAGCTGTTAAAGAGAAACAGCAACACTGTCTTCTATCCAGTAGAGACTGCAGGGGAGAGTAGATGGCAGGATGCACTTGGAATCTGGGCAGAACCCAAGGGTTCCTGGTTCATTCATAATTTTGTGACACTGAATGCAGGTGAAGTTGAACAATTCCACTTTATTAATTCCAGGGGGAATTAATCTCTGGAATTCCATCCGCCAAGATGGCCATTGACTGAAAACCACACAACACCTGGGAGGGGATCACATTCATATGGGAACATATCTCTGTCCCCCCAGGACCTGTGAGACTGGCGTTCTTCAACTATGCCACAACTCCACCCTGGCAGGACACTTGGACCGATATATAACCCAGCTGATGTCCTGGTACTTCTGGTGGCCCTGGATGAGCTTCACAATAGAGACTTTTGTCACTTCCTGCCAGGTGTGTGCCCACACCAAGATCCCACACCAGAGACCCTGAGGTTTCCTCCAACCTCTGCACACCCCACCTCGGCCCTGGGAACCATCTGCTGCAGTCCCAAGTGACACATCTCCTAGCAGAAAATCAGACACTCTGAAAGCAGCTAGCATGGTTCCCGGAGGAAAATTCCGTGTTCCAGGTCTGGTTTGGGCCACTACCCTCTGATCCAAGCCCCATGGTATCACTTGGCGAATGTTTTGATGGGAGCCATGAGGGATTCTTGAACCAATGCAGTCTCCCTTTCCTGCTCCGCCCTTGAATGTATCCAACCGACCAGGCCAGGGTGGGAGTAGTGATCAGTTTGCTCAGTGGAGAAGCACTGGTTTGGGCCTCCCCCGTGCTGGAGCAGGGCAGCCTGGTGTTAACAGACTGGAATGCCTTCCTGTGAGCATTGTTTGCCATCTTTAACAACTCTCATCTAGCTCACTCAGTGGAAGCTGCACTGTGACGGCTCCAGCAAGGGCAGGAGCCAGCTGCCTCGTATGTTGTCCGGTTCCAGCAACTCACGGCTGATGTTGAGTGGAACGAGGCAGCACACCTACATCATTTTTGGTGTGGACTCAGTGAGGAGGTAAAGTACGAGCTAGCCTGCATTGAGACCCCAACCTGCTTGGATGCGTTTATCAACCTCTCTCTCTGTGTCAACCATCAGCTGCGTGAGCAAAAGGAGGAGAGGAAGAGCACCCTGCTGTGACTTCACCCACACCCTACACCAAAAACCCCAGGGCCCGACCATAAACCGATGCAGTTTGATCTGGGCCACCAACACTTTTCCCTCAAAGAAAAGGAACAGCAATGGTGCAATAACCTATGTTTTTATTGCAGAGCACCAGGACACGCCCTTGCCTTATGCCCATTGTGAACCCCAACCCTCAAGGAGTCAGGAAATGAGCACACTCAGGCTGTAGGGGGAGCTGGCCTGGGCACTATGCTCTGGAACTATCCCCCAGCCCTCAAGAGAAACTCAATCTAGGAGATGTGGGTCCTCCCCACACTTCCAAGTACAACTAGAGTTACGAACCATGGATGGGACCAAGCCAATGCCCCCCAGTGGGCCCTGATCGATTCCTGGATTACTGATAACTTCGCAGATGCTAAAGCCGCTCGAACACGACAATTCCCCCTCAATTGAAAGCCCTCATCAGTTCTCGTAGAAACAATAGATGGGTCCCTCCTGTCCTCAGGGCCAGTGACTCAAGAAACAGTTCCCCTAGAAGCTGTAATCCAGGGCCATCGGGAAGTGCTACAGTTTAATATGATCCACTGCCCACATTTCACACTAATTCTTGGTGTCATCTGGCTGGAGCAGTGTGACCCTTGATCCTCTTTTCTCTCCAGGACATGCAACTTCCCCTCAAAATACTACCTAAGGGTCTGCCTGCGCACAGCCAGCCCCAATCTTCTGGTCCTGGGCTGCTGAGGCCAATCAGAAATGACAGCACCAGTGGGAGGACTCCAGATAGTGGCAGTTAGCCAGAAGAAATCACTCCCAAGCCTAAGTCTCCATCTCCCTGAGAAGTACTGGGGTTATGGAGACGTGTTTTCAAAGAATGTAGACACACTAGCTCCACACTGAGACTATGACTGCCCTATAGATCTGCAATCCAGGGTGAAGGTCCCTAGATGGACGGATCTGTGTGATGTCCGAGCCTGAACTGCCAGTCCTTCATGAATACATCCAGGAAAACCTAGCCAAGGGCTTCACCTAGTATTCCATCCCTTTTCATCAAGAAAAAGGACCGAATGCTATGCCTTTGCATAGACTATTGGGCCCTAAACCAAGTAATAATACACTATCAGTATCCTCTGCACACAATCTAGTAACTCTGAGATCAAGGGCAGTCTGTCAGAATCTTCACCAAACTGGACCTCTGGGGTGCTTACAATCTTGTGTGCATCAGGGCAGGGGATGAATGGAAGAGCACATTTTGAACCCACTACGGGGACTTCAAATATTTAGTAATGCCATTCAGGCTGACCAATGCTCCTGCAACCTTTTAACATTTTGTGAATGACAAATTTAGAGACATCCTGGACCAGTACGTAGTCATCTATCTCGATGACATACTTGTGTTTATGGCCTGGCCACAAAATTTGACTAGTCCTCTACAGAATTCCTGGGTTACATCCTTTCCCCAGAGGGTGTCAAGATGGATCCCTGCCCCAGAAGGTGGAAGCCATGTGTAGCTGGACCATGTCCAAGTCCTGCTGGGAGTTACAGTGCTTCCTGGGCTTTGTGAACTTTTACTGACAATTTCATTCCAAACTTCCTCTGCAAGGCCACCAAATTTGTTTGGACACCCGAAGCTCCCCGTGCTTTCGAACAACACAAGGCTGCTTTCACCACCTCTCCCATTCTAGCATGCCTGGACGCAGCTCAGGCATTCATAGCGGAAGCTGATGCCTCCAACATAGCCATAGGGGTGATATTCTCCCAGAGGCATGGTCCACAGCAAGTCCTGCACCCCTGCACCTACCACTCCCGAAAACTCACCCCTGCTGAACGGAATTATGAAATATTGGATAAGGAACTACTTGCAAACAAATCATCCTCCAAAGAATGGCACTATCACCTGAAGGGAGCCTGACACTCAGAGCAAGTACCATACTTTTCGTACCATATGAACCTTGCATATGTGTGGAAGGCATGAGCCTTGAACCAAAGACAGCTCAGGTGGGCATTATTCTTCCCTCAGTTTGATTTTTGTCATCACCTATTGCCTGGGAACCAGGAACGGGAAAGCTGATGCCTTATCCCGAAAGGGCGAATACTACCAAGAGGGCAAGGAGCTAGCCAAGAACCACCCTAAAACCTAAGGTCTCCTAAAACCTTGCAACATTCTCAGTGTCACTATACACCAAGACTTGCTTGATCCAATCTGGTCTGCTTTGCAGGGCAATCCATTAGCCTAGGAGGTGACAGAACAGTCTGAGCAAACAAAAGCCAGAACCAAGATGCAACACTCCACACAGGATGGGATAACCTACCTTGATGGGTGCATATACATTCCACCGGGGCACTCCCAGCTAGAAGTGCTCCATCTCTGTCATGACCTCCATTGGCAGGCCACTTTGGGAAGCCATGTGGAAGGTCTTAAGGTAGCCATTTCTTCTGATGGCCATGTATGCAACCTGAAGTCAGTCCAGGACTGCTAATTCTTGTGAGCTGTGTGCATGCACCAAGATGCCACATGCTAAGCCCCTTGGCACTCTAGTACCTCTGGAGACCCTATCTAGACCCTGGGCCTCAATCACCCTGAACTTCATCATGACTCTGTTGGCCACACAGTGGTCTTGACTGTTCTAGATGAACTGATCATGTAGTCTGCCTTCATGGGTTTCCAGACTGTATCACTTCAAACTGAGGCCTGCAATTTATGTCATGATTTTGACATGAAGTGCTCTGGCTAATCAACATTCGTGCTTTTACCTGCTCCACATACCATCCCCAGACAGATGGGCAGCCAGAGAGGGTAAACCAAGTAGTAGAGCAATACCTGAAAAGCTTTGTCAACTATCATAAAGACAACTGGTTCTTACTCCTTCTGTATGCTGAGTTCTCATACAACAATGCAGAGTCCCTTCTTTGCCAATTATGGTTTCCACTCTCGCTTCCACCCAGCCTTGCCAGCAGTCTCCCTGAACCCTGCAGCTGCCAACTGGATCCAGTGAATTCATCATATCCAGGAGGAGCTTAAGGACCACTTTGGAGATGTGAAAAGGGACTATCCTTGACTCTAGAGGGAGAGACTGTACTATCTAATCAAGTGGAAGGGCAATGGTCCTGAAGAGTGCTCCTGGAAACCTTCTGTCCATGCTGCTGACCTGGTAGAAAGGTTTAATCAAGGCCACCCAGATAAACCTAGCTCAGCGCCCACCCAGAGGAAGGTGATGTAAGGATCAGGGGACTAGAATCTGGGTCTGTACAGCCTGGAACAGCTGATGTTCTCACAGTGCCACCAGGAGACCGCATGGAAGCACAGCCGGGGGCACTGTGGAGAGTAGGTGCCACAGGAAGTACCACCCAAGACACCCAGTTTGACGGTACCCTGTAGCCTGCTGATTGGCCAACTGCCATATTAAACCACGGGGTTGCCTGAAGTTGTCTGGGCAACCACACAGGCTTTGGCCTGCTGCAACACCAGACTTTGCCTGATCTCCAGTCTTTGACTCCAGCCTGACTCTGACCTTGCCTCCTGATTCTAGCCTCTTATTGCTTCTGATCTCCAACCCTGGCCTGACTCTGACCGTGATTCTTGCTTATGGGACCTGGCTTTTGTGATTCTTCCAACTCCTTCTTGGTGACTACTTGGCTCTGGGCTGGGGGTGCAGGCTCTGGGGTGGGGCTTTGGATGAGGGGCTTGGGGTGCAGGAAGGGGATCTGGGTTTGGGGGGAGCTCAGGGCTGGGGCAGGAGATTGGGGCATGGTCTTACCTTGGACGGCTCCTGATCAGCGGTGCAGCAGGGGTGTTAAGGCAGGCTTCCTGCCTGTCCTGGCAGCACGGACCACGCGGCACCCTGGAAGCAGCCAGCAGCAGGTCTGACTCCTAGGTGGAGGTGCACAAGCGGCTCCGTGTGGCTCTCATCCACAGACCCCCCCCCCCCCCCGCAGCTGCTGGCCAATGGGAGAGCAGAGCTGGTGCTCAGGGCGGGGGCAGTGTGCGGAGCCCTCTGGTCCCCAAGTCTAGGAGCCGGACCTGCTGCTGGCTGCTTCCAGGGTGCAGCACGGTGTCAGAATAGGTAGGGACTAGCCTGTCTTAGCCGGGCAGCACCATTGCCGGGACTTTTAACAGCCAGGTCAGCGGTGTTGATCATAACCACCACGACCCAGTGCCTTATACTGTATTCCATGACCCAGTACTGGGCCATGACCCACAGTTTGAAAACCACTGCCTTATGGGGCCAGGAGCAAATGAGGAGTTCCCCACTGTGCAGACTGGCTGGACAAAGGGCTGGAACCCCACCTTCCTCTGCTGCGCCATTTCCCCAGGCTCCATCCAAAACCTACAAGCATCATTCTGGCCTTGTCCGGACAGGGCCTGAGCTGGCTCGCTCTTGTTCATGTGCCAACCTCAGCCACATGCTGGGAAAGCAGAGACTATCCCCTGCTGGGCCTCGTGGAAATGGGACCTCTGCACCCCGACCCCTTGCAGTCTCCTCTCCCAAGAGCCCTCATGACAGATGGGCAATTGGCCAAAGCACCCACTAGGGTCTCTCACTGCAGAGAGAAACAAACCATTGACACGCAGCCCCATCTGTCCTGCCTGGGTCCATGGTTGATCTAGCTGCATGGCACGGTCCTTGGGATTGCAGGCTGCCAGGGCTTCCAGCCTGGGCCCAAACCAGCCAGCATGGAGCCCAGAGCATTGGCCACAGGCAGAAGATTGCTAAGCATGTGACTAGCACTGACCGGGAGACGACAGTCTGCTTCACGGCAACTTTGATAGGTTTCATCATTTGTTTCAGTTCCTCATTGGGCCAACCCCAGCCCCTTGCTCTGTTGTGAAACGGATCGGGATTGTGTTGAAATGTCCGGGAAGGCGGGAGGGGGAGCCGGCTTCAAGGCCCTGCTCTGCCTGACTCAGAGCAGACTTTTTTTATCCTAGGCCACTCAGAATCAGGCAGTGCAGGGCTCCGCCAGGCCAGTGCCCGAACCACCAGGCCTCAGTGCCTGAGAGAGGCTCTGGCTGAGCCAGAAGCGACACTGGCAGTGCCCACGCTTCGCACAACAGGAGCCACTTGCCAGGCTGAATTTTACAAATGCAATTCCCACTCTGGGTAGGCCTGACGCTGACAGTGGCTGGCAGGAACGCACTACACGACTGTCCTGCTGTCTTCTGCTCTCTGCGTTTGCTTGACAAGGACACCTGTTCTCAGAACAACGTGTGGCGTGGCTCTGTCAGAGGGAGCCCACTGTTAAATATCAATGCTTCTGCGCCTTAGCAATGCTGCTGCCACTGGCTGAGTGCTCTGGCACCTGCATTGGTGCAGGCATTGCTCCAGGACCAGCTCTCGTGGCCCAATGCACTGGCCACGGACTCTGCTCCATGATGCTCTCAGTCCTTCCCAGCTAGCTTTCCCCAAGTACCGGCACCAACACTGCAGGCCTGACTTGTGGACAAGAGCATGCCATTCTCTCAGAGGTGCAGGGCTGTGCAGATGCCTGGGAGCCAGGATCGTCTGCATTCTAATCCTACCGCTGCCACCAACTCCTCCTTTCAGTCCTGGGCAAGTCACTTCACCTCTCTCCACCTTTTCTCCACCTACCCATAATGGAGGGACAATTGGTGTACATGAGTGTGAGCAAAGGCAGAACTAGTCCCCGGTAGAAGAGACAGAGTCTAGTGATTTCAAACCACTGCAGCCAGCGAACTACCTTCCTCAGTGTGTGGGGGAATATGGCACTGGACTGACACGCTACCCCTGAGGCCACAAAACAGGGACAGCACCAATGTGCCTCACTGTTCTGCCGCCATGGCCCTCTTATCCTTGGCCTCGCTGGCCTGGTGTGACACTGAGTACTACAAGATGGACCAAGGCCAGCACTAAGCTGCCAGGTGGGAACGGCTTTTCTCTTCCCATGCTTGGACTGGATTAGAAACTCTGACCTCGAGGCAAAGGACTGGTCACTGATCTCACGCTGGTGTAACTCCTGTCATTTTGGGGGGTTACTCCAGATTTACACTGGTATAAACCGGGTCAGCATTGGCCCCAACAGCTCTGCAGGCATAGGCTGCAAGATGCTGCTCATGGTAAAAGGGGATGTTCCCAGCCATCCCTCATGCCCTGTGGCCCAGCGCCCAGGCCTCAACAAGCATGTGATCAGTAACCTCTCACCACCTGCAGTGGGGTTCTCCCCTTGGCGCCAGCATGAAACGATCCCACCCAAAGCCGCTTAGAAAAGTGAAAACTTTATGGAGTCCCTTAAGTTAGTCTGTTGTGAATGCACAGCTGCGAGGGCGGGCAGCAGCTCTGGGGTGCCTGCTTTCCAAGCCCAGCGCTGTGAGGGAAAAGGGGAGTGTGTTCGCAGGCCAAACCAAAGGGCCCCTGCTGGGTCTGGAGTGTGGACAGGCCCAGGAACAGCAATCCGATCTGGCGCTGTCTGGTGGAGGCCTGCACGTGCTGCCGTGCTTGGGCTCTTGTTCAGAACCCCAGGCCTCGGTGCCTCGCGGATCAAGGTGATCCATGCAGTGATGCACCCTGCTGGAGGTCCAGATCCTCATGTGCCAGGAGTGCTGCACTTGGTGGAGGGACCCAGTTTGTTGGAGACGTATGGGGCCCTGGAGGCGACAGTAGCAGGAGCCTGCTGGTCTGGTGGTGGCAGGACAGAGGGAGGGAATTCTCCTGGGAACCCAGGTAAGGGGGAGGGAGGGAGGCTAGACGACTGTGTAAGGGCCAGAGATCTCCCCCCTGCAGACCCAGAGGAGCTCCCCTGACCTCAATGCAACACGCCTGGACCTGGGTGATCATTATAACGATTCAGCAGCCAAGCTAGCCACAGGTCCCTGAGCAGGGCAGCCTTTGGGACTCATCACAAGCTCCCACGGCCTGGGGATCCTGCTGGTGGGCGGTTGGCTCGGCTCTGCCCCAGGGGTCCCTCTGTGCCTCGTGGATCCTGCCTGTGACTCTGTGTTAAGGCAGAACTGGTTGGTCTGGGGGAGCGACTGGTTTATAATGAGGTGACACATTCTGTCAGGGGCAGCCCTCCCTGCCCCCATCCTGCCCCCCCCGCATGGCTGCCCCCAGTAGAGCTCCTGGTGGAGCTGATGGCTGGTGAGTCCCTGCTGCATGGAGCGTGCCCTGCCCAGTAAGAAACCCCGCTCGCTGGCCCGGTTGTACGGGAGACGGTGGGTCTGGCCCGCTGGCGATGCCGTCCAGGGGCCATGTGCAGCAGGAACGCCTGGGGATGGCCGTCCCGCACAGCGACATAGCACAGTATTTACACAAGGAATGGTGGGTAAAGGAAGGGGGGGGCGGGGCCCATGGAACTGCCACAGCCCCTTGCGGCTCACAGGCTGGCCACGCCCCCCTCGCTCGGCAGCTGCCCCGGGGGGAGCTCGGTCTTCACCCGCACCATGCTGGCCGGCAGCTCTTGGGCAGGCTGCGACTTGCTCCCTGCGGTCGTGGCCCTCATCCGGACAGCAGAGGCTGCAACACACCGAGGGAAGAAAACACGCTTAGCCCACAGGCTGGGTGACTCAAGGTGGCCCCAGCCCCAGGGAGTCGTGGCCACCAGCTGGCAAGGGGGCGGCTTTATAGCCACCCCTGGAGTTCAAGGGGGCGAGACAGGGAAGCCTGCCCACCGCCAAGATCCCTGGCAGCCTGGGGTAGGGATTGGGGCTGGTCTGCAGGGGGTGCTGTGTGGAGGCTCCAGGGATCTGCCTCCCCCCCCAGCCATGACTCTGCCCATGGGATGATGAGCTGAGTGGGCCAGAGCCCACAGTGATGTGACGGCTGTTGCGAGCTAGAGCCAGGGCCTGGTTCCTGCCCCCCTCCAGCGCTGACCTCAGTGGGGTTCCTCTGGCGGCCTTGCATGTGGCTGACACAGCCACACCACTCTCACCGCCAGGAGCTGCCTGGCACCAGGTTGGTGATGGATGGCAGATTGGTGATGGTCGTGTGACCCTGCCCTTCACTATCTAGCCAACCCCACCCCCTGACATCGACACGGACAGCAGCCACCAGGTCCACCTGGGAGAGCCACGTCCCCAGTTGGGTCTGCCGGCCACTGGCGGAGGGCGGCTGAGCTCTGCGCTGCTCCAGGGCAGCAAGCCGGCTGCCTGGCCTAGCAGCTCACTCTCCTCTCCACCACCTGCAAGTCTCTGAAGCTCCGATCGACCCTGCATAGTTGCAGACCCGCTCCTGAATTTGCTCCAGACTGCCTCCAGACCCTGCCCCTCCTTGCTTTAGTCTCCTCCCTACTGCCTCTGCTCATCCAGCACCCACCCACCCTGTGCCGCTGCACAACCCTCCCCACAATCCCCCACCCCCTTGGTGCGAGAGCCTTCTGCACTGCAGCCACTACCAGATCTCCATAGAGTGTCACGCCCCCGCGCGTGACGTCTTTCCCACTGCCCCTTGCCCATGCCCTGCTCCCTCCACCTGCATTCCCTGACTCTGCACAGCTTGTGTGGCGGCTAGTACACAAGAATATTGTTGCGCTGTGTGACCCTGGCTGTTCCCCATGTCAGGAGCCTGCTGGATGCACTCCCCCTGCCATCACAGTCACGTATTTCACTGTGCACTCACAGAGCAGAGCTCTGGAGCCAGGAGACGCGCAACAGATGCAGGCCCTGACCAGCCCCTGGGAATGCCACCCTGCAGGGACACCAGCACTCACATGCATAGGGTGACACATAGTGGCTGCCATAGGAGGTGGCGGAGTGCGTTCTTTCCATCCCATGTTTGGAGGGTGGCCGGGGGGTCTTTGCTCCTGCAGAGAGAAGAATTGAAAGAGACCAGTTAGCGTGGCAAGAGGCTAAATCCGTGTCCAAGCAGTACGGGGAGTGCGGGGGGAGGGGGAGCCAGCCCAGCAGGGACAGCCCCAGGACAGAGCAAGACTGGGGGTGCAAGCCTACCGGGAGGAGATCTCACCCCCAAGCAGCCATCTTGCGCTCTGGCCCTGGGTGTATGGAATGGGGTGGGGCCAGGGATTCATGTGACGCCCCCACAGGAATGTCTGAGTTGCTGTCCACACGGCACTCCCCACAGCATGCTCCGCTCATGCCTCATGGCCGCACTCAGTCGGGCTGGGCACATGGTGTATGTCCATCAGCTACCCTGCGGTGCCCAAAATGCCCAGCCCAGGCGGCTGTGGGGAACCCACTACGGCCACATAGAACATTTATACAATGGAGCTGATAGCAGCCCCCTTCATCTTTAGGGCCACCCATGCTGACTACAGAGCCCAGCATGCAATGTCCATTTTGGGCTGAGTAGCTCGAGTGCCTGGAGCTAGTCCATTGCATGCTGGGGGTGGGGTCATCTCCGCATCTCCACTCTAAAAGCGCAAGTGGCCCCAGCTGCGTTTAGCCTGTGGGCTGAACCCCTCGCCCTGCCCCACACCCTCTGCCAGAGGAGCTGCCCCTCCAACCAACCTGAGAACTCCTTCTCCAGAGAGACACTCCGGTTTGCCAGCTGTGAGCTCACCCTACCCTTGTAGAGAACTCCGTTGATGCCCAGGATATCCACTTCGCTCTGCAGGGAAGAACACAATGTGCATGGAGATCTCACCTGAATGCTGCTCTCCTCACACCGGGGGCCCTGACTTCCTCCCCGCTGCTAATCTCTTCCTCTCCCCTCTGCCACCCACCTCCCTCTCACCCACAGCTACTGCCCTCCCTGCCCCCCCGTCAGATCAATCCCCTCCAGCAGGTTCTTCTGGTGGCCCCATCTCCCCATGCTGGCCCTTGGCCTGACTCTCCAGTGGAGAAGTGGCCCCAAGCCGACTGGTCTAAAGGGAAGTGCTGTGCTGAGATTAGCATGGGAGGGGAAAACACAGGGCAACACGGGCTGGCTTACGTTATCGTAGGTGAGGACTGTCGGGTCTCCGTAGGGGTACATGGTGGTAAGAGCCTTCACCTTGGACAATCGCTTGATGGGGTAGGCGGCATGTGCCTGGCATTGCCAGCACTGCTGGGAGGAGAGCTGCCCATGGCTAGTCATTTCACGCCCGTCATTGCCCTCTACAACTTGCTCCCTGGGGAAGGAGAAAGCAGCCAGTCCGCTGCAGAACCCTGACCTTGACCAGCCAAGAATCAGCCAGTCTCCCAGAGGAAAGCGGATGAGCAGGGCTCTGCATGGATCAGCCTGTGCTTGCATGTGGTGAGCCGGGCACCTGAATTAAAGGGCTGGGAAGTACACAGGCGGCATGTGAGGAGTCCCCCATGCAGGCCCGGGAACAGCCAGGTACATGGCACGTCCCTCATCAGACGCAACTACACGAGAGAAGCCTCCTGGCTGTTTTAGCCATGCTGGGGACCTCCAGCTCCCTGGGGAATTGCTCACCTTGCTCGCTGCTTGAGTGCCAGGTACTCGTAACCGTTGGCACTAGCCGGACGTGGCCGTGAGAGCAGATTTGCTTTTCGGACTGTCACCAGGTGCCTGCACAAAAGTAACGGTATGAAAAAAAGTCAAACAGTGCCCTCTAGGGGAAACATCTTGTGCTCGCCTGGCTCAGCCAGAACTGCAGGAAATGGGGCATTGCTTGATACTCACGGCCCAGTCATCATGGCCACGGGTCTGTCACAGGAAATGCACTTCACTCGTTCAAAGAGCTGCCTGAAACAGACACAGCGACTCGCCTTATGCCATGCTCATGCTAAGCTGTAGCCTACCGCAAAGCTCACAGGTGGCATTGACGGTAGCTTAGAAACACATTTCTTTTGATTTGTATTATGGTAGCACCTGGAGATCCCAAATGAGATCAGGACCTTGGACATGCACAGTGAGAGCCAGTCCCTGCCCTGAAGAGCTTTTACTGTACAAAGGGGAAGGAGGAACCAAAGTGGGGAAGTGACTTATTCAAGGTCCCGCAGCAGGTCAGGAGCAGAGCCAAGACCAGAAGCCAGTTCACCTGAGTCCCAGCCCAGTGCTCTGTGCACTGACCAGCCTGGCTTTCTAAAGCCCACTCTATGAATCTGCCCCAGGAACTCAGGTCAGTCATTCTTGCCTTGAGCATGAGTAACAGAGGAAAGAGAACTATTAACTCCATTTTCCAAACATTCTAGGTGAGACTGAGCATTTGCAGCAGATGTCGAGGAGGCCAACCTGTGCTTAGCTTTTGACACTATGGGCCCTGTGTGTGGGGGCTGCTGGAGGGGATGTGGAGCAGCTGCTCCAGTTTCACTGAGAACCTTGCAAGCTGCCAGGTTAAATCCTGAGCTTCAGGAGAGAGCAGGACCTCCCATGACTAAGGGTTTGTGACTGACCGTGCACAAAGCCAGAGTCTATCAAACATGATACTGACAAGCCTGTTAGAATCCAGAGCATTGGTCATGGCAGGGCTGGTGAAGTCCTGCCTGTAAGCCTCTGTGTCTGCAATGCTCCCGCAGCTGCCCTTGTCTTTCAAGGGAGGTGCCCAATGAGATTACAGCTCCCAGCAGGCAATCAGGGCTCCCTCATGATGCAAGGAGTTTGGTGGCTACCTGCAGGATGCAGCATTTCTTGCTGGGACGAGTAGTTCTCTTGGACGCATCTCTATGAGCGTGGCTGCCTTTGGCTCCATTTTACCCAGCAAAGTGCAGCCCTCGACTCTGGGCTGTCTACCCACGCAGTCCTTGGCGGGGCACAGCCCAGCTGTTCCTTTGTGATCTCTCCAAGGTAGAGCCAGAGGAAGGGCCCAATACTCTGCTCCCCTTCTCAGGACCCTGCCTCTCACCCACTCACCTTTTAAAGCCAGCGGCACTATCAGCATCAAAGCGGGGGCCCTCACTCAAATACTTCTTAATGAACTTCCACACTTCCTCCAGCTGCTTCCGCAGAGGGTCCAGGGCCATGTGGTCCAACTGCATAGGGATGGGGGAGAGAGAAGCCAGGTGACCAAGAAAGGAGCCCTGCCAGCAGCAGCAGGCATCTCTGTCAGTCTGCACTTTACTCCCCCTGTAATGGAATGCTAAACTGAAACCTGTATTATACTGTTCAGCCATTAGATGGCACTGTCTGTAAAAGACCTTATTTAAGCTAACCTCAGTCATACCTGGCAGAGCACTGAAGGATCTCATAGTGAACACATCTGATGTGCATCTCTCTGAGAAGTAAGCTCTGTAGTCAGTCCGTATCTGATACAGAAGCTTGACGTGCTAGTAGCAGCCCTGCAACCTATCATGTACAAGAAGTACATGACATGGTGTCAGAAGTAAGCTAGTGCCAGAGGGGAACAAACAGAAGGAACAAAGCAACAAAGGTTGCAGGAGTTTGTCCACATGCCACTCTTCAATGCCCTAGAGAACTTCAGCTTTGACAAACCTTCACAGTGGACAGACTGGAAGCAGTATTTTGCAAGATTTCAAATCACTACAAAGCTCCACCAGTTAACTGGAGATACACAGTTATCATCTTTAATTTATACTATGGAGAAGCAGGCAAAGCATATCTTTAAATCCTTTCAGTTTACTGAAGACAGGCACAAAGATGACTAGGAAAGGGTTCTGGCTATGTTTGATGCATACTTTATACCTCAGAGAAATGTGGTTTATGAAAGAGCATGTTTTCACCAGAGAATTCATCAACCATGGGAAAACGTTGAATTTTTTATAAGAGTTCTGCATGCATTAACTGAAAACTGGGATTGCAGAACATGAAAATATCAGAGACAGGTTCTTTATTGGATTAACAGATAAAATCTTTCATAGCAGCTACAGTTGAAGACAGATTTAACCGTAGCTACAGCTATACAGATAACAAAGCAGTCTGAACTAGTCAAACAGCAGAATCAAAAGACAGGAGCAACTTGAAAAACCTGAAACTAGCTTAGAAGCTATAAACACACAGTTGATTGTTAAAAGTCATTATCATGAAACCCCTGGGACAAGGAGACGGAAATCCCAGGCTAAGAGAGTCAAATTCCAGCCTCCGTACACACAGTGTAGAAAAAGTCATATCCCAAGAAATGATGCATGTCCAGCCAGAGGCTCACAGTGTAATACATGCACAAAATATGGACACTTTGCAGCTGTTTGCTGCACAAAAGCAGTCAAAGAGTTGACTCAAGGGCCATGGCTTCTGGGATCTATCACTTGTGATGATACAGAATCTGCCTGGAGCGTGAAACTGAATATTCATGGCAAGACTATTGGCTTTAAAATTGACTCAGGAGCTGACAGTCATCTCAGAAGGGATTTACAATCACCTTGAACCCCTTCCAGAGCTGAAGTCACCTGACACTACTCTGTCTAGCCCCGGAGGTGTTGTGAACTGCAAGGGCCAGTTCACCACAGAAACAACTTACAGAAGCCGTGCATTCAGAATGTATGTGATCAAAGGACCACAGACCAATAGCCTTCTCAGTTGCAGTGTGGCACCCTTGATGGGCCCAGTGAGAAAGGCGGAAGAACTTGGAATATTTTGTGATATTGGACTTTTGAAAGGAGCTCCAATATAAATCACCTGAAGAGACAATGCTAAACCCTACGACAGGCAGGCTTCCTATCTCATTACTTCATAAAGTAGAAACTGAGTTATAGAGAATGGAGCGGATTGGCACATCGAGAAAATGTCTGAACCAACAGCATGGTGTGCCCCGCTGGTACTGGGTACAAAGAAAAATGGAAAGATACGAATCTCTGTGGATCTGAAAAGACTGAATGAAGCAGTTGTCAGAGAAAAATATATCCTCCCAACATGGGATGACTTCCTCCCCCCCCCGAAGTGAAAGGAGCTACAATATTCTCCAAACTGGATGTCTCAAGTGTACTCTAGCAAATTCCTTTAGCCAAAGAAAGTGCTAAACTGAGTACATTTATCACACCCTTTGGGGAATTTTGCATATGAAGTTTCCCTTTTGGGATTGCTAGTGCACCCGAATGTTTTCACAGAAGGACAGCAGAACTGTTAACGAACATACATGGAGCTGTAGTTTCCATGGACAGTATTTTGATATGTGGGTCTTCAATGGAAGGACACGACAAAACCCTCAGCTAAGTCCCGAGCCTAATCAGTCAGTCCGGACTGAAGGTGAACAAGGAAAAGTGCAATTTCTGCCTACCCCAAATCAGGGTTTTGGGACAGACAATAAGCAAAGATGGAATCAGTCCCTTCCGGCTGCTGGCAGGGCAGATAAGCCCATCAGAGCACAGTGCAGCCAGCAGTGATTAGAGAATGGAGCCCAGGCCTGTGCCCTTTCCTCTCCATCCCTGTGTCAGCTGAATGGATCCCTCAGTGAAGCATCAGCACAAGACTCAGAAGCAGGGGCAGCACGCTCCCTCTGTGGGGAGACCCCTGCCACATCAGTGCCCTGGGGCCAGGGCAGTAGAGCTCAAAGCAGCCCTGAGGTAGAAGGGAGTATGTGGACCAGATCCTGCTTCCATTGGGAGTGACTGCATTTACCTGGGAGGAACAGAACCGGGCCTGGCCTACATGCTCCCTTGATCCCCTGCCCCTCACACAGAGGGGGGCTGGTCAGCCTGTCCCCAAGCAGCATTCTTTTTACCCAGGGAGCTGGCTGCAGGGAAGGGGGGCACTAGGGAGAGTGATCCTGGTCTCACACCAGTTTCACTCCAGCAGAGTCTGGAGTCTTTCCATTTACACGGTGTGAAAGGAAGATCAGGCTGATGGTGCTTTACACCCTATTCAACTGCTGCTTGTACCCCAGGCCCCTGCACCCACTTGCTCTGGAGTGTAGTGATTTCATGCGCTGACCATTCCCTCCCTCCCCGGTGAAGCTGCTACCTTGGAGTCCACGTCACTGAACAGCTTCTCCAGCGCCTTCTGCCAATCGTTGTCCTGCAGGGACATCTTCTGCAGCAGATCCTGCATCATCTCGTTCAGCTGAGTAGTGGCGCTTTGCAGCTCCCCATGGTTCACCATGGCCTCCAGCGCACTCTTGTCTGCTTTCTAGTGGAGAGGCAGCGTTTTAAAGGGCTGGTCCCATCCTAAGTGGCTGTGATGCAGGGACTCAGACCTGGTGTGGTTTGGGATTCCACTGCCCCTGCCACATGGCTGCAGCCTACAAAGAAGATACCCTACAAGCTAGGACTTTCCCTCAGTGCAAGGGGTGGGGGCTGCAATTCGGCAGCAGAGGTTGCTGAGCTCTGTGTAGGCTGCATGTGCAGCATCGCTAAGGACAGAGTTGGGTTTAGCATGTGGGCAAAGGCATTGTAAGGGGTGTGAGCTGAGGAGCTGAAAGGAAGCAGTTTCTGGAGGAATTCTGCCACAATTTAAGGCTGGTCCAGGTTCCTCAGGCCTCGGGCCCAGACCGGTGGTGAGGAGGCAGGATTTATGTAATGGGAGACCTGGATTTGGTACCAACTGCAGGATCCCATCTCTCTTGCCCTAGTTCTACCAGGTGCTGCACAATCCTTGCACGGTGCTGAGAGCTCCCATCCCATCATGGAGAGGATGGGACTGCCCAGGAGACAGGCAGTGGTGGCAGGGCAAGGCTAGGGTTGGGAGGGTGAAAAGAGGGGCAGATCCCTGGGGCTCAGTCAGAGATGGGTGGTGTCCCTGACCCAGGCAAGAAACAGAAAGGGTTAAATGCCTAGCACTAAGGCCCTGGTCCTAAAGCAACAGAGATACCTATCCTCCTCCTCCTTCCTAGGTGACTAGGCTACACTTCAAAGGACCCAGCTCCATTCACAGCAGGAGAGAGAGAGAATTAGAGATACTGAGAAATTCATCTCAGCCGTAGCAGAGGGAATGCCTTCTGCTCTGAGATCAGGTAGTCGCAGCACCCACTGAGAGCCTGCAAGGAGAGCAGCACCCGGGGCTAACTGAGATCCCCAGGGAAAGGCTGGGCCACTCTATGCACCATGGTCAGAATTTAAGGTCCAGGCACCGGGCTTGCAGCTGCCAGGATTTATTCCCTTTGCTGGATCCTTTCCTGTTCTCTTTCCTAAGCTCCAGGACCTGCCCACATGTGGTGGGATAAGTGCTAGACTGGTGCCCTGCAAGTTCAAGAGCACCATTGGGAGAAATGTGTTCTGTGCCTGGGCCATTTGTGCAGTGAGCGCCGAGCTTGACCCTGTACTGCAAAGCCAAACATATTATGGGGGAGGAGGGAATAAGCCCTTAGCCCTGAGATCGGTGCCATGGGTGTCTCCACTCACCACATTCATCTCCTGCTCCAGCAGGGCTTTGTCTGCTTTATTCAGGTCCAGCTGCTGAACCATCATCCGCAGGTTCTGTGGGCAGGCAAAACACACTGTTGTAGTCAAGCATTTCCTAGATGTTAAGGCCAGAAGGGGCCAGTATGATCCCCTAGTCTGTATAACCCAGGGCAGAGAACCTCACCTTCCTGCGTCCAGCCCAGGAACTAGGGGCTGAGTGAGAGCAGCTGTTTTACAAAGATGTGTCCAATCATGATTTAAAAGCTTCAAGGGATGGAGAATTCACCAGGTCCCTGGGCAAGTTGTGTCAATAGTAATTCCCTCATTTAAAAAAAGGCTGAATTTGTCTAGCTTTGGCTTCAAGACACTGGGTCTCTCTCACTCTACCTGTGCCTGCTGGATTAGATCAGAAACCCTCCTCCCCATGTCAACCCTTGGAGACCATGATCAAGTCACTCTTTAACCTTCTCTTTGTTAAGATAAGCAGACTGCGCTTCTTTAGTCTGTCACTGCCTGAAGCTCTGCCTCATTCTTCTCCTGTCGTGTCAAGCTGCCTGTATGTGTCAGTCCTGGGCCGGGACAGTCAGCACAGAACTTCAGGGCCAACCAAGCCACAGGGTGGTGGTGGATGCTAGGGTCACAAATCATCCCACGGTCTGTGGCCATGAGTGGCAAGAATTGGGCCATGTCACTTCCCCACCCATCTGGGCACCTTGTGCCCCATCTACCCCCTGGCACAGCGGGGTTTGTGGCGTTCCCACCAGGCGCAATGACAAGGAGCACGGCCTGAGCTGCGTCTGCACTGCCATTTTTCTCACCGCACGACCACGCGTTAGCCATGTTTGTGCTGCAGCCCCACCAAGCTGCCTAACTGTGTTTGTCCCAGTGCCTTCTGGAAATCTGGGCAGCTCTCCCTTCATGCCTGGTGCACACAGCACATGTGGCATCCACGAGTCATGAAGGGCCCAAGGGAAAACCTCATACAAACTATTTAACCCCTCCCCCCGCTGATCCCTATGAGGTCCCAAAGCAGCCAGAGGCCAGTTTCCTGAGGAAAAGCCCCTGGGATTAGGGACCCAGAATTTTCCCTGGTTAGTGCCAGATTGTTGCTGGCTCTAGCATGCGTGTGTGAGGAGAAAGGCACAAGAAGCCGTCCCCCTTGCTTCCCCCACACGGGGGGCAGGCCAAAGGCTGTCCCTGCTGGTGCCCTGGTGGGCGCTGGCCTCCCCAATGGTGGTGCAGGAAGCGCTGCACCCAGCAAGGCTGGTCAGGCGCACACAAGGGGCCCTGCGCCCTGCTGCCTTCCCCTGACCCCTCCTTGGGGGGTGCCTGGAAGGTTGCAGTGGGTTTGCTCTTACCTGGAAATCCCCCATGCTGCTCAGCAGCCTCTCCGAGGCTTTCTGCAGCTTCTCGTACTGCTCCTTCAGCTTCTGCACCTGGGCCTGCAAGTCCCTCTGAAACTCACTCCCCTGCAGAGAGCAAGGCACAGCGCCGTCGCAGACACCCAGCACAGCGATCGCCGCCTCATGCCCTCTAGAGCTAAGGCTGCCAAGCAGTTTCCCTCGAATGCCCGGCTTTCAGATGCTCTAGCATCAGTCATTCCCCAAACGCCCAGATGGGTCAAATGTGAACATGAAGCTTTGCAAAGACAAGACCTTGCTGGGGGCAAGTGGTTGGATTTCATAGAGTAAAGCTGAGACACAGGGTGGATGGGACCCTTTAGGAGGGAATTGGTCCAGCCCACCTGTGCCTCATTAACAGCCTTTCAAATGGGGCCTGGTAGAGGGCAGCTAGTCTCTATAAAGAGCCAGAGAGGAACAAGAAAGTGTGCAGATGGGAATAGGTACATCCCTTTTCGCAGATGACTGCTCTACGGACTAAGCACAAAAGCTGTAAAGTAACCATAGAAAGACAAATGAGAAACTCCAGAGCATTTCCAAGTGGGGAAATGATTCAGGATTGAAATTCTCACGTGCAAAAAAAAGGGGAATGCTTTTAACCAGGAAGAAAATTTGGGAAGAACGGGACTTATTTTTTTATGGTGAAAAAATTCAGATAGTTCAAAAATTGATGTTCCTTGGAGTAGTGTTTGATAATAAATTAACTTGGAAAAGTCCCATAGATAATATCATACAGAAGTGTAAAAGTTGGATGAACTTACTTAAAAGGGTAGCTGGAAGCCAATGGAATACAGATAAGATACTGATGATGATATAGAGAGCTTTATGGATGCCAGTTTTCGACTACAGATGCCAAGCTTTTGATTCAGCCTCAAAAACAATTCTTAGAAATTTGGAACAGCTCAGGCTCAAGCTCTGCTTGGCATGTGGTGTAATGATAACCCCACTAGAGTATGCGCTGCCAATAGCCACTGGAGAAACACCTATAAATCTAAGGATGAAACTATTAGATCTAACCTTTTGGGCAAAGGTAAAAGGAATCATGAAAATAAAAGTACAGATTTATGAGGATTGCTGGGAGCTTAGTAGACAAAATAATATGGAATCCCACAGACTTCCTCATATTATCAGGGACAAAAAACGGGTAAAGGTGACATGTACAAAAGACAAATGGAAAGAATGAAAATTTTTTAGTCATAGGAAGTCCAATTATAGCTGGACAATCATTCCCCCGTTTGTGGATTTGGAATTGTATGAAAAAGAAAAAATGAGGGAAGAAAAAAACCAAACATTTTATGACCAATGACATTTCTGCATTTACGTATGGAAAATGGGGACAGCTTTGCCAAGTCTATACAGACAGATCAAAATATGACAACGTGGGTACAGTGGGAACAGTCTTCTGTGTTCCTAGTCTTGGAACCCAGATATCTAAAAGGCTATCGAATAATGTGCCATTTTGACAGCTGAACTAATGGGGTAATGTTGGCACTAACTTGAATTAGAGCTGAGCGACTGGCTACAGTTGTAATTTTATCCGATTCCTTGTTAGGCATAATGACAATCAGAACAGGAACTTCAGAAAGCTGAAATGACTAATCAGTGAAGTAACGTTCCTAACTCCAGAAATAATGCGCGCTACCTGTAAAGCCTGGAAAATCTGAGGATATCCACTTTATATCTGCGGATAGCTGCAGACCACGTTTGCGGATCGGATCTGGATAAAAATTTTGTATCTGCGCAGGGCTCTAGCGCTCTGTGTAACAATGGCATGGATTCTGGTGCACATGGGAATACCAGGAAATGAGATGGATGACAAAGGTATTACCAGCAGGAGAGTGGGGTGGGGGGAGAGAAAACCTTTTGTAGTGATAATCACCCATTTTTTCACGGTTTGTGTGTATAAAAACGTCTTCTGTACTTTCCACAGTATTCATCCGATGAAGTGAGCTGTAGCTCGTGAAAGCTTATGCTCAAATAAATTGGTTAGTCTCTAAGGTGCCACAAATACTCCTTTTCTTAAAGCAACAAAGCATTCTCTAAAAAACAAGGAGGTGGATATTAAAATACCCTTATGTAGACAAGAGTGCGGTTATGAAGGTGCTCACAAAGGAATGGCGAGACTTATGGACTAAAGAAACAAAAAGATGAAGGTTCTAAGATGTATGCTCAAAAATCGAAGCGAATACTACAGTAGAACCTCAGAGTTACGAACGCCTCGGGAACGGACGCTGTTCGTAAGTCTGAACAAAACATTACGGTGGTTCTTTCAAAAGATTAAAACTGAACATTGACTAAATACAGCTTTGAAACTTTACTATGCAGAAGAAAAATGCTGCTTTCCCCCCCCCTTTTTTTTTTAGTAGTTTAGTTTAACACAGTACTGTGCTATCTTTGCTTCTTTTTTTTGGTCTCTGCCGCTGCCTGATTGCGTACTTCCGGTTCCAAATGAGGGGTGTGGTTGGCTCTGGCGTTCGTAACTCTGAAGTTCTATTGCATGCTCCGCAGTCATGGCAGAAAAAGTGGAGTAGTCATTTTTAGAGGGTTAACATGTCTTTGTGCCTTAAATAATAAGTTAAACGTATTAAAAAGACAGAAAGACGGGCTGTGTAATGTTGCAAAACCAAAGAAATTGTTGACTGTGTTCGCCGGTATTGTGGGTAATTGTCTATGGAAAGTAAGTTTTTTATTAAGTTGGCTTGGAATCAAAGGAACTAGCGAGACTGTCAGGAAAATGGAATAGTGCAACAAAAGCCCTACTGTGGTTTCTCAAGGATACTAGACTCAGTGCAAAGGTATAAAAAAAAAAATACCCTGGCAAAAAAAGAATGAGGAAAGTGGCGGTCCTAGACTTGTATGGCTGCTGCATCAAAACCAAACAAAAGACAAAAAGAAACAGGGAGAGGAAGCTGTGACAGAGGCGTCAGAAAGCAGGAGGCGCCTGCAGGAGACCCTTGACCGGGGTGAAAGGTTTGGGCCTGGAAGCCAGCTGACGAAGGGCTGACGAAGGCTGAGGGCCAGGGAGAGCTGACTCCACCCAGAGTGGTCAGCCAAGGCAAGGAAGAGCTGCCCAGAGCAGACCCCGGGGGAAAAGCAGGAGAAGAAAAGCCCCCAGGCCTGAGTTTTGTTTTGAGTTTTGTGTCAATAAACTGGCCCCAGTGGAAGGGCATTACTGGGTAAAAAACCTGTGTGAAGTTTAATACAGAGCCCTGAAGAGGGGAAACTGAGGGAGCTGCATAGCCATCCCGGGCCACAAGTGGGTGCACAGGAGGCAGCAACCCTGTAACATGGGAGCATTAGCATATCACACCCTGTGCCCATGCAATAGAGAACGCCCTTACACGGGGCCCTTGGCATGCATGCACATTTAGGCAAGGGAACACAACTACCATTGCAATCACCCCATTTCTGCATCTATGCCCCATTCTGCTCCAGGTCCCTCCCCACTCTGATTGTAGCCATTGCAAGAGACCATGAGAGAAATAAGATGTGCTCTGAGCTACAGCGCTATCTTGGGACAAACACGTACAGCCCTGGACCCAGATCACCTTGTCTTCTTTGCTTTGTAGGCTGCTTATTTCATTTTTCATTCTCTCCAGATCTGCGGCTACGTCATCTGCGATCCCAAGTTTGGCTGGAACCAAATGAAAGACACCAAAGCTGTGTCTGCACGGAGAGCTCCAGGGAATTCCCCCACCACTGTCACATTACAGGCGCAGCTCCATCCCTGCCAGCAATGGTCTTGTAGTCCAGCTGCCAGTGGTTCTACCCCGGGCTCACCCACTGCTGCTCTGGGCACATCCAGGGATGAAGATGCTGGAGCTCTGTCTACACTAGTGCTCCCAATATTGCCAGTCCCAGGTGAGCTGCACCAGTGTGCTAGAGCTGAGGTGAGAGAATGCCCCCCCCAATTATAGCGTGTACATGGTTCTTCATAGGGGCAGGGTCCTGAATGGCTCAAGCAGTAAAGAAACCATGGAAGGAAGGTTTGCTTGAACTACAGAGAAGCCTTTGGGGGCTACTCAGATCTGGATTCATAGTGGGAGCCCATCTTTAAAGCTAATTCAAGGTCAGGCAATGCCTCACAGAGCTACTGGAGATAAGTCACCGTCTGTGGGATAAAGGGTGATGGGGATGGATGGGGTGAGCCCCAGAGGACATGGCAGCTCAGGCTGCATTCCCAGCTCTGCTGTAGGTACTAGTGAGGCCATCAGTGGTAGCTGGAAGAACTTCTCAATGCTTTAGCACTTTGTCCTCCTGCCCTCGGACTTCCCTCTAAGAGCCCCCATCCAGGGCAGGGTGTTCCTGCCGAGAGCAGCCTCACTGCAAGAACAATGCTTCCCTGGCAAGTCAGCTCTAGGGAAGGTCGTCAAGGGCAACTCAGCTCTGAAGACAGACTGTAGACCTGGTGTAGGGGTCTCCCGCTAGATTTGCCAACTTTCTAATTTCTGAAAACTGGACCCCCCCCCAGCCCGCCTCTTCCCATGAGGCCTCACCGCCTGCCCCCTTCTTTCCCAAGGCCCTGCTCCTCCTCTTCCCCCAAGGCCCCGCCATCCCATCCCTGCTCCACCTCTTCCCTAGAGGCCACACCCCCACTCACTCCTCTTCCCCCCACTCCCCATTGCTTCTCTCCCTCATCCCTCTTCCTCGTAGCTCGATCCTCTCCACCCGCTTCCTCCCTAGCTGGGCTCCCTGGGTCCCAGGGCTGGGATGGGAGCTGCAGCCTGACATGGTACCTGCTGCCTGCCTACCCATGAGATGCAGGTAGGAGGTGGCCCTGGCTGAGCAGGGGCTGGTGTGGGTTGATGACCCAGCACTCCACCCCCCACCTCCCCCCGCCGCCCATGGTAACCAGACTTTTGGTGTCCTGTTAGATGTATTGACCGGACATGCTGGTTGAAAACGGGACATCTGGCAAGCCTAGCTCCCGCACTTACTGCATCTCTGAGTCCAGACCCGACCTCCTCACTTTTCAGGAGGCAAGATGCTTTTCCCAACTCCCAGCCCTGCGAGCTCCCTGGGGCTGGGCTCCCTCTGCTTCCAACATCACCAGTAGGAAGAAAGATGCTGCATTCTGAACAATACCCAGGCCCCAAGCCGGGATAGTCCCCTGCTCCGCCTCTCTGAGAGTCGGCTTCCCCTCCCCCAGAACTGGTCTGGGCCCTGCAGGGACAAATCCCAGTTCCCCTCCTGTGGAGCTGGGCTGGGCCCTGCCAGATAGACACCCCCCCTGCCCCGGGTCCCCTCTCCTGGAGCCGGGCTGGACTCTGCAGGACTGGCAGGCTGTGCAGTCTCACTTGTGTCCCTCCAGGCAGTGGCTCTGACTGCCCAGTAGGAAGGAGCTGGTTGCACCCAGTCAGGTCTGGGCCCTTGCTGCCCTCTAAGGCCCCGGATTTCTCCTGGAAGACAGGCCCAACCCAGGGATGGGAGCGAAGCTGGATGCTGGGGCCTCACCTAGGTGATCCACTTGCTGCTTGAGCTCACTCTCCAGCAGGCTGATGCGGGTTCCCAAGGCTTCATGCTTCTCCGGCAGTTGGCACAGCTTGCCAAGGGCCTCCCTGACCGTGTCCCGTTTTGAGTCGAGGCTGGGCACTGGGTCTGAGGGGCTCTGAAAGAAAACACCCCCGCGCTGATTTTATGGCAGGTTGGTTCCTGCAGACAGCTCAGAAAGGGGTGCTGATCAGAGCTGGGGTGGGGGGATGCAGGGGACTGGCTGGGGCAGTTGGGTCATGTTTGCAGATTCCAAGTTCTCGCTATTGGAGGAACAAAACAGCAACCAGTGTCCAGCAACCTCCTTCTGCCTTTGAGAACTGTGCCCACACTGGAGTTATTCACCTGGTCTCCCCAAACCATAGGGGTCGGCTAATACAGACACTGATCCCACTCATCCCTTTACAGCATCAATCATGACACCACCCTGCATTACAGAGCTCAGATCAGCCAGGTATCTGGGCTAACCTTGTTGGTGTGAGTGTCTTGAGTGAGGATGCAGGCTGGTGCTGGTTGCTGCACGCCAGGGTGCAGGGTTGTGGCTGCTAGAGGTCCCCCATAGATTTCAGAGGCCCAGTAGCATAGGGAGTAGAGCGACTGGCTGGGGATTATAACCAACCCTTGCAATAATCCCCTGGGGGCATAACTGGATGTGCTGAGGAGTGGTCATCAAGGGGTGAGCTGATCCCAGCAGAGGGCATAGACTGCTGGGTTACAGGGTGAGTGTGTGTGATGGCAGAAGAGTTTACTGTGACCTAGCACACCCTGAGAGTCCAGAGGCTTCAACTTTGCAGCATTCTCTTCCTGCTCTGAGAGAGACATCAACCCTCTTGTGCCCTGGATTGGAGCCGATCAGTGATGAGACCCACATGATCTTGATCTCAGCATGAATCAGTACAGTAGCCCTGCCTCACCCTGCAGGCTCTTAAAATCTGATCAAATGGTGAACAATAACCCACAGCAAATCCAGAGGGAGCTGGCTTGCCCCATTCAAAGAGTCGTGATGGACACAGAAACACAATTCTCATTGCTCCCAAAATGCTTCCGCTCAATTCTCTCTCGAGTGAGCCCTCAGTTCGGGATAAGGTCCACCAGGCAGGTGGGAATCTGCACCTACCTTGTCAGCGAGCGAATCAAAGAGAGAGCTCCACTGCACTATGTCCACCTGCTCGGGGAAAGAAATCAGCTGTACCTGCATCTTGTCCTGCATTCAGAGGAAGAGAAAAGGAGCTGGACATCAGAGGGGAATGGCCTTGCACTTTATATCAGAGCGAGGGATGGGCAATCTGGGACAGGGCGTGCAGGAACAAACCCAATCCTGCCCCCTGCCAGACCCAAACCTCTCAGCAGATTCAGCAATGGCATCATCCCCACAGTATCTTTCCCTTGCACATGGCCATGGAGTTCAGGTTCCACTTGGGACTGGAAGTGCAGAAGTACCATGATAGAGCCTGTCTGCCGGGGATCTCATTAGGCAGCCTGCTCCCAGGAGATTATCAGCTCCATTTTGCAAGTTTAAGTGGTTTGGAGAGAGGACTGGCCCTAGGAACCAGTGGTCTTGTAAGGTGCCTGAGGGTGGTCCATTGGGGGCAGGGAGAGGCCAAGGTGCATGTCACTGCTCAGGGATGCGGTTGGAGGATCAGAGAGGAGTGGGAGGGGAACCTGAGACCCTTTCACGGTATGTGTAGGGGTCATTACTGCTTGGAAGCACAAGCAGGGGTCACACCAGAGAGGCATGCTGGGACATAGCACCCACACAGCAGGGCGCACCCTGCGCAGTGGCACCCTTAGCCTGCTCTAGGGCCAGCCTCCGTTGCATAGTTCTCCAAGCACTCCCCCAGCCGGCACCTCCTCAACCGGCAGGCCGATCGCCCACCACCCGCTGCCATGCATGGGGCTGTGCAGGGAACAATGCTGTGCTGAATGCAACTGCCCTCCCCCGAGCCCCAGGCAAAGCGAGAGTTGATCTGAGCTGCTAAATTCGGAGCAGAATGTGAGGCCCAGAAGAGGCGTTTGTGGCTCCCGGGCCATGGACTGAGTACGGCTGCTACAGCCTGTGAGCAGCAGGGGACGTTACTGCAGATGATCAGCGGCAAGGGCCCCAGGCCAAAGCCGTTCTCAGGAGCAGAGGGTGGAGTGAGGACAGGATACACTCTGCACACTCACCCACTGAGTGCGAAGGCAGCAGGAGCCTCCGTCACCCTTCCTGTGGGCACCCTACTTACAGCTACCTGCACTGGAGAGGCAGGGTGCACCAATACTGCAAGCTGCCCTCCTCTCGGGCTGCACCTGCCGTGCCTCGGAGCACAGCAGCAGCGGGGCACAGGCCAGTGCTCGCAGGTCCAAACACCTTGAAGACAAGTCAGTTCCCCCACTGCCAGTGGGCGGTGTGAAGCAGCAGCATGAATGTTGACCAGGCAGCCTTTGGTATGGAGGCCTGGCTGTGCTGCCAGCTGCTCACCCGCACAGAGCCCGGCTTCCCATCCAACGAGCGCACAGGTAACATGGCTACTGAGTTGGCGACATCTACGCGTCTGGACTGACCAGGCGTAAAGACTTCCCCATGGGACTGTGTATATTATACACTGCACCTAGCTTGCTCTTTAGTTGAGCTGTTTGTTACAGATGCTATCACAAATACAGCCACTCGCCTGGTTAGGGAATGGAGATGGATTCCACCAGGGGAGGTGAACTTGTTGGTCTAGATTGTCCACTGGCGTAAATCATCCTCGTTCCGCCAGAGTCAGTGGAACCCTTATACACCAGCTAAGGATCTGGCCCATTGTTTCTAAAGATTGCTTTGGATTGACTTTGCAGCCCTGGGTTGTTTGTGAGCTGCTCCCTTGCGCTGGGCACGGATAGTGCTGTGGGACTGGTCACCTGCACCACATGGTGTGGAACTCAGCGGCGTAATTAACCCTTCAGAAAGGCCACGCTCTGGTGTCTATGCAAAGGGCACTAAAAGTGCGGCATCACTAAGCCCTGTGCTCTGCAAGGCTGAGCGGAGTGGCCAGGGGAGTTGGGCAGCTCGCACTCTGCACAAGGCTGTGAAAAGCTTATCTCCCGAGGTTCCCAAACGAAGGGGCCAATGCCCACGGTAAGGCTGAAGCAGGCTCCGCTGCTCCTTCGCTGGCTGTGGCAGCCCTGCCTGGCTCCTCCTGGCTACGCTCCCTGAGTGTGTGAGCCTTCTCCAAAGCCCTTTGCCAGCAGGTTCTCTCTGACTCCCAGAATCTCCCCACTCACCAGCCTGTCCAGGATGGCTTGGATGAGCTGGCTCTGCTGATCCAGCTGCGTGAGCCGCTCTCTCATTTCATCCATGCCGACCTGTTAAACAAACCACATCGGTGGAGGAGGGATAGCTCAATGGTTTGAGCATTGGCCTGCTAAACCCAGGGTTGTGAGTTCAATCCTTGAGGGGGCCATTTAGGGATCTGGGGCAAAAATTGGGGTTTGGCCCTGCTTTGAGCAGGGGGTTGGACTAGATGACCTCCTGAGGTCCCTTCCAACGCTGATATTCTATGGCGCGATGTGCAGAGGGAATGAGTGGCCAGCGGCGTCCTGCCAGCTCCGCACTCCAGCCTGTGCCCTGGCTCTGGAGTGGCAAGGGAATACCTGACTAACTGCACATGAGCCTCGTGCCCGGGGCTAGCTGAGGCTCACTGATCTCTGGTTACACACAGTGTGAGAGGGCTGGAAAAGGGCTGCACTGGGGCTGAGCCAGGCAGGGAGCCCAGTCTTGGCCTCTTCACATTAACAGCTCAGCTCCTCTGACGGAGAGGCAGTTTTCTCTAAGACTCAGCGGGTCCCCTCCGGGTAATTCAGGAATGCCTCTGGCCAAGGACGCTGTATCCTGGCTTCACTGGTTGGATGGACGGGAGCTGGGGGACAGGGCCTTGGAGGGAAGGGTCCCACAGGGAACAAAGCAGAGGGGCTTAGGCAGAAAAGGGGAACTGGCTTGCTTGGAAGACAATAAGAATGTAAAACAATTCCAGCAGGGGGCAGCCTCCGGCTGTGTGTCAGCACCCAGCTCTGTCAAGGGGGACCAGGCCTTGTGCCTTGGCTCGACAAGGAAGAGCATGGACCAAAGTCTAAAAGGAGGCCTGTGGAGCAGCCCTGGAAGGATGTCGGTAGCACTGCAGCAAGAGTGCGCACACCAGTGATCTCAGGGCTGTGCTTGGACTCAGGATTTCATGGCTACTTAATTTTGTCCAGTGGGGAGGCTTGTTGTTCCTGTGTCCCCCCATCAGAGCACCCAGGTCTCACTCCAACCCCCACCCCCATCATTTTTCTTTGCTATGGGGAGCAGGAGCACAGGCAGGGAAGCCAGATTCCCTGCAGGCCAGTGCAGTGCTCCTGAGTCACCAGGGCGCCCCTTTGCCAAGAGAGTTCTCCAAGGGCAGCACCCCCAGCCGCCCCTTTGCCATGGGCAGATGTACGTACTTGTTGGAAGTTATCCTTCAAGACCCCCAGCTCTTCCTGGAAGCTGTTGACGGTGCTTTGCAGGGAGTAGATGTTAGTGAGCAGATCCTGCAGCGTGTTCATGGCCTGAAGAAGCGAAGAGGACAGGGAAATGAAGGAGTCAGCACCAGCTCGAAGCGGACCAGGCAGGACTGGAAACAAGCCAAGAGTGCTCTGCATGGACAGTCAGCCTGGCATGACGCAGGAGCCCACACTCTGCCCACCCTGGCGCCAGAGGGCCATACCCGACTTGCTGCCGACAGAGCCGACTACAGCCAACCAACCTTTTCTTTAACCCAGAGAGCAGCTGTGGAGAGTCCAAGGGCCCAGAAAACAATGTTCTATCTGGAGCCAAGTAGCCTCTCCTGGGATCAAGATGCAGCATTGGATGCTGGGATCTGTAGTTTCCATGGATTACACCTCTGTGTTAAAGGGCAACTGGGGCAAACTCTGTGGGAGACTCCCAGGTCACATTGTCCATCCTGCAGAAATTAAAGCGTGGCCACAGTTAAACTGGGGCAGAATACATCCTCGGGGGCTTCTGGGAATGGTCTGCTTCTTTACCTGGCACCACGTACTTATTACAAACAGCACCTATCAGGTGGTGAGAACTGTTGGAGAGTGATGAAGAGTGGTTCAATGAGCCCAGGGCTCTCCTGACTCTGTTACAGCCTGTTCTCTCCTCAGGTACCGCTGGAATAGCCATGCCTCCCTGATGGAAATCTGGCTTCCAGTTTTATCCTGGGGGTGCCGGGCTGTGATCAGGCAAGCATCCATTCCATCGCTCAGGTTGATTCAGTTCAGCTCCTATGAGCCCAATTCTCATTTCCTCTCTAGTCATTGGTTTCCTCACACTGTAAGGGGCCTTACCATGCGCAGAGCAGCGTGAAGTGGTCTTCATGCAAATGAGAATCAGACCCTACATCTTCTTCCAGGACACCTAGGAGAGCAGTGCTGTGCCCTAAGAGGTGTTAGCCATCTCTGGCAGTAGTGATATTGATTATATGGATGTGGCAGCCTCTTGGCTGTTCTCCCCTGGGGAGTCTCTCAGGACTCAGTCCATGCAGAGCAGTCTCTCATGTACAGAATACCCAGCAGAAGGCTTTGCCTAAAAACAATCCCCAAATCTAGTTTCCAGAAGGGATTTGCTCTCTTCCGTCGGCCTGCTGGAGCTAGAACAAAGAGGGCTGAGCCTTGCTGAGGCTCTGTGACATCATTTACACTCATGCAATGTGGGTCTAAAATGCTACCAAGCGAGACCCTTCCGTGCTGTTACCCCTGGTTGGCACAGGTGTAAATGGCTCCATGGGGGAGAGTCCAGCCCCATACATTACGGTGAGTATGAACTGCTGTAGGTCAGAGGAGAATCAGGTCCTGGATACTTTACAACAGAGCTGTGAGGGGCGGTGCAGAGACCCCACGCAGCGGAGGAAGGGGCCAGAGAGGTCCTGGGAGCAGGGCTCCTCCACCCCTCTGGCCTTGTCAATCACACAGGACAGGCAGGAGAGGAGACCTTTAAAAGGGAGGAAGCTGCAGTCAGTGCGGGGAAGGAGTGGGGTTGCCCTAGGAGTGACTCCTGAAGCTGTGGAGGAAACTGCCAGACAGGAAACCTTCCCTCTGCCCCAAGGAGAGTACAGAGGACTCTCTGGTAAGACAGACAGGCTGAGCCTGTCTCCCAGATTCAGCCAGAGCCATCGCACGTGTGCTGGATTGTTGGCAGCACTGTAGATTTGCCACCCCCAGAGTGTGTGTGGGGTTTGTGACTTTCCTTGTGATCCCCCAGCTGGAGAGACTTAAGGAGGCCCACAAAGGGCAGAGCCCCCCTGCAAGGAGTGGGGAAGTGGGGCCTGGATTGTGACCACCCAATGGATGTTGCTTGGGAAGGGATTAAAGCGAAACTGAAAAAGCTGCTCATGTAAGAGCAGCCCCATGTAGGATCAGACTGGTATAACGGACTGATTCACTGGTAAAACTTCCCATGCAGACAAGCCCTCAGTGACTAGAGGCAGGGATCTGATTCTTCTCTCACGCTGGTGTAAATCAGGAGTAACTCTCCCAGAGTAACCCAGTGCGAAACCAGTGCCTGTGAGATCAGAATCAGGCCCAGGCAATCCAAAGGCAAGGCTGTCTCTGGCCCCAGTCCTCGGCTATGACCAAGGACGGTACAGCACAGCTCAGCCCAGGGCTGGCTGGACATCGGTCTGGTCCCCAGCCTAACTTAGAGCAGCCTGGAGGCTGTGTTAAGTTGTGCAAGCTAGCAACGGCCCCAAGGGATTGACCCAGCAGGCAGCAGGCAGCAGGGTGTGGGGCTGCCCTGATTGTAGTGCAAGGGCGGCATACAGCCTGGCTCTCTCTTCACTTCCAACTGCAATTCAAGGCTCTGATTCTGACCTGTCAGACCCCATAGCAGGCTGGGTGGCTCCTGCGTCGTAGATGTAAACATCAGGAGCAGGAAGAACCGAGCGCTCTCCGAGAGTTCACTGCTTTGCTGCCCTGCCAGGTCCAGAGGGCCCAGTGCCAGGCCCACCACAGTGCTCGGACCCAGGGGCAGTTAACTTTGGGGAATGCCCATCTCTCCAAGAGGCAGACACTGCCCGCTGCACTCCAGCGCTTCCTACACAATGGAGCACGTCGGACTCGGACTCGGCCGGGGTGCCTGGGAGATCGTTCACTGTTAACAGAGCCCCCACAGCAGGACTCGCGAGCTGAGCTGCTGAGCATGCGCCAATCTTGACATGTCCAGGCTTGTGCGCCTAACTAGCACTTGACACAGTGTCTCTCAGGCCCTGACAGGAACGCCACAGGGAGAGGTAGCGTTGCCAACCCTCCAGGATTGTCCTGGAGTCTGCAGGAATTAAAGGTTAATCTTCAATTACAGATTATGTCATGTGATAAAACGTCCAGGAATATGGGGGGAGGGATAGCTCAGTGGTTTGAGCATTGGCCTGCTAAACCCAGGGTTGTGAGTTCAATCCCTGAGGGGGCCATTTAGGGATCTGGGGCAAAAATTGGGGATTGGTCCTGCTTTCAGGTCCCTTCCAACTCTGATATTCTATGATTCTATGAAAATTGGCAATGCTAGGGAGGGGGCAGGTGTGTGTGCACAAGGAGTTCTGACGCTGCTTGGCAATCCCCCGTCCCCACCAGGACGAGTGTGCAATGCAGAGCTGCCCCATCCCACGGAGAGCTCTGGAAGCTAGGGAAGGGATTGTGCTTCCCCACAGCACAATGGGGCGGGGGGCAATAATCCCTCCTAGAACTCCCTGCATGCTGGGGACTGCCCCCACTCTACTGGAGTGCGCAGCTGGCCTGTGAATTGGGGAATGCCCTTTTGGGGTGGATATGCCCCATGGCACCATCAGGGGACAGACCTTGGGCTACCAGTGCTGTGGGGTGGCTCCCTCACTGGCCCTTGCAACATCCCAGCAAGCTGCAGTTGGAAGGCTTTGCAGAGCCCTTTAAGGCCACATCCAGACTAAGAAAACAGGCCATGTTTTCAAACACGCCCCCTGCTCAGGTCAACCCTGGGAGGAGCCTGGATTGGCCCCAGCCAGCTGTCACAGTGCTGAGACCATTGCCACATGGTCTCCTTGTGCTCCCCTGTCTTCCCCACTTGTTACTTCTTGTCTTGTATTGGCAGAGACTGGCTTTCTGTTCTACGCCTAGCACAGTGAGGCCCCAGCCTATGACAAGGGGTCCTAGGTGCTAGGGGAATACAAATCAATAATAATTAAACTCAATTTGCCCTGCCTAGACTAGGTGCAAAGTTCTGTGTCAGTAGCAATTGCTCAAACAGACAAGCTAGCACATTTCCAAACAACAGCCAGCCTGCTCCGAGAGACTGCGGCTAGAGCTGGCTGCGAATGATGCTTCTTGAGAACATTTTCAAAAAGGTTTTAATACTATTGTTGGAAGTGAAAATTGCGCTGTTATTTTTAAAATCTCTCCTGCGCCTCCCCCTTCTTTCTTCCTTCCTTTCACTGGAAAAAAATTTTTAAAAAAAGAGTAAAATGTGGATTTTCGTCATTTCAACCCAAAACATTTAGAAAAATTTGGATTTTTTTTTCGGTTTTAAATTTTTCCTTTTGAAATTTCATTGGAAAACAAAGAGCTGTTGATTAAAAATGACATTTTTCTGCAGAGAGTTTTGTCATCTTCAAACCCCCATTTTTTGGTTAAAAAAACAACAACAATTTTTTATCAGCTCCTGTCCCAAGCCTGAGCAGAGGGGCTGCCAGGGAGGGGCAGGACCAGGCATTCCCATGGTAACAACACGACAAACATGGAGCACGCTAGTTACTTCTCAAGTCCATTGGTTCCGCAGGAGTGAGAGGTTACCAGGACCTGACCTTGCACCATAACTGCCATTGACTCTGTAGGCACTGCGGGTGTTCAGCTTCTTGGAATCAAGCCACAGGTTGGCTGCACTCAAAAGTAACGAGGGCAGCTGGCCCAGCGCCAGATTATCAGCAGCTGCAAGAGATCGGACTGTCCCATGCCTGGGAGCTTCTAGCAACAGCAGCCCCTGTGCCATAATGCATTTACAGCTTACAGGCAAGCAGGTTCCACCCCAACACGCAGCAGCTGATTGCCCCGCACAGTTGGCCGTTCACACAGAGAGCTTTCCTCCCAAATGTCCCCTCTGGCCAGGCAAGGGGAAGCCAGAAACGTATCCGTCTCCTCTAGGTCTGATTCAAACAAATTAAATAAGAAATCTGAGCAATCACCTGCCCCAAGCCAGCACTGAACCTGTTGCATTAACCCGTCCTAAGGGCTCGCTAACCTTCTCTGCCCTGATGCTGCTTGTCCCCTACTGCCACACACAGGCAAGCAACAGGAGCAGGCTGGCACATCAACAGAAGGGGGGCAGCGAGCAGAATTGGTGTATCAGCAAGCAGAATTGTCCCAAATAAGGAACTGACACAACAGCAATCCCTGTGCACCTGTGCCAATCCCCGTGTTCGATCCTTGGGCAGCAGCTGGGTAACCTCTTTGTTTACACAGAAACAACTTTCTCATATTCCTAACTTGGGAGGGAGAAGCACCAAACAAAGGGAGGCCAGCTAAGCACTGCAACAGGTCACCTGGGAAGGTCATGGCATCCTTGCCTTGTCACTGAAGGTTTTTAAGAACAGGTTAGAGAGACAAACATCTATCAGAGATGGGCTAGGTTTACTTGATCGTGCCTTAGCATGGGGAATAGACGAGATGACCACTCAAGCTCCCTCCTAGCCCTATGATTCTATGATCTAGTGCTGCTATCAAAAATGCTTCCATTTTGTCCTTGAAATGTTTATTTAAAAACATCATAATATCAGATGTTTCTAGACTAGAGTGCCCTAAAGGATGCCTTTCCAGTGATATGCCAACTCTAGTATGGTGTACGTGTAAATCACTGCACCTACCACTGAAATGCAGCCACTTCTGGGAAGGAACCCAGCTGCATCGCCACACAACAATTTATGAGAAGACGGGAATGGGAATGCTACATCTGATTGATCTGACAGGAGATTTAGTGAAACAAAATGTAAAGTCCCAGGAAGTGGGTTTCTAACTGGCTGGAGCTTGACAGACACAGCTGAACACTTGTCAGCCAGCAAGGCCAGTATACCACTAATTCAACACGGACTTACGCTGGGATAATCATTTTAAAAGGCAAGATGACTAAATATGGCAATTACATTCTGGCCTCCATAAATTCCCCCTATAGGTTCAAATGAATCTAATTTCCTGTCCATCCTAAAGTACTGTGTGATGTTAAGCAGCTGTCACGTTCCACCCCAGAGGTGGTTACATTTCTATGGTGGGTAAGGTCCTTGCTCCACATCCTTCAGTGCCTCACAGGGGTATTGTGAGTTGTAGTCAGTTAGCATTTTTGAAGCACAGCAAGGCCCTCAGGTGAAAGGTGCTATGGAAGTGCAGAGTATTATTAGTGTTGTGGCTTGCAGTATGTTTAGCACCATGATATGTGGTTGCTGGTGTACTGGCTGTGTGCCCCTTCAGAGGGACAACTAACTGATGTGATTTGCTGCCTGGCATGTGCCCGTACAAGGGACACCTGCCAGCTGCCAGACTGCGATGCTGACACTTTGGTACCATATGCAGGGGGAGTGTAGGTCTGCGCTATTTGTTCTCCTACTGCCCCATTGTTTTACTCCTTTCTTTCGCCCCACCGGGCACAGCAGCATCACCTGTCAGCCATGGGGAGGAAGTGCACGCTCTGCCAAGGTGGCCTTACCAGGTGGCCTTCCTCCCCCTGCTCAGGGCACGACTGTCTGTGTGCTCCTGCTCATGCTGTTTCTAAACCCTCGCAGCTGAGTTAGAGTCATGGGGAGGTGCTGCTGCACGCAGAGAAGAAGTGGACAGAAGTGAATCTTGTCCCCAGTGGAGAAAGGAGGCAGGAGAATGACCCTGCAACAGCACATCGGACCCATGTGAGGAAACATCAGAACAGCCCATTACAGCCAGCCTGTCCCTCCTGCTAGGGGCATGGCAACCCATGAGCCATGGGACTGGTTGGGAATACAGGACAATTCTTATGCATTTCCTCTGGGAAAGCCCAGATTCATCCCCCAGATAACCTCCACAAACCCCTTCCCAAAAGGGAAATGAATGATACTCAAGGGGAACTGCAGAGACAGACCAAGGATTACATCAAGGGCTCTAGGTGGGATGAGGGGGCACCGGCACTCCCTCCCCCACTAACCTGGCTCAGAGGCAGACACCCCCACCACTGCTAAACCTGGCCGCTAATCTGGCAAGATCATGTGCAGAAGGCCAAGGAAAGCCCCTCTCCATCTGACCAGGAACAGGACAAGGAGATGGCGCTTAGAGAGCTCACAACTTTCCCTTGTTTCACGGCCTCAACTACACCCTAACCAGGCAACTGGACTGGACCTAGACTATGCATCTGATGAAATGAGCTGTAGCTCACGAAAGCTTATGCTCAAATAAATTGGTTAGTCTCTAAGGTGCCACAAGTCCTCCTTTTCTTTTTGCGAATACAGACTAACACGGCTGCTACTCTGAAACCTGTCTGTTCAGGCCAACATTCCTGGAACAACACTGCTGGTCGGGGGTAAACTGCCTGCTCAGATGGTGAAAGGACACCAGCACTTGCTACCTGGACGAAACGCCAAGAGGACCATGGGAGGACGGGGAATGGAGGATTCTGGCTGGGCAGCAACAGCTGAGCTATTTGTGCTGCTTTCTGTCTGTGCAGAGCTCTGAGGGAAGGGGTTTTCTCTGACTATGCTGGGAAGGGGTTAGACTCTTGTGTTTTCAAACTCCCTTCCTGAGCCAGTAAATGAAGAACTTAGCATGTGGTTCTGCTCCGGGGAGGGACGCAGTGACAATTACGTCATGGGGTCCCAATTGCCAGATCAAGTGGGCTCCGTTTACAACTACAAAGATTTTTTTTTCTGCCAGTCCTGTGTCCTCCCCGTGGGCTCCGAGAGTGACAGTGGGCTCCTTCCTTCTGCACATCAGTAGCAACAGTAGTGAGGATTTTGCAGGTAAATTATGTCCTCACAGGCTCTGATGATGATGCAGGAGGAGGTGTGGACTCCAACCCCTCCCAGAGCCGAGCTGGCTCTGCAAGACGGAGGGGAGAGGAAAGTACTAAGCAGTCATGGCTAGAAGATGATGCTGTTTTTACCTGGTCACATATCAGGGTGACATACTGCACTTTAACAGCAAAATAAGCGGCGTTCTGAGCAAACTGAAATTCCCTGTGCAATTGCAACACGTATTCTAGGTACAATGTGGGCTTTTAACATGATTGAGGTCTTCCAGGGTTAAGCCCGTCGATTTAACATCAGAGAACAGAATTAAAAAGGATCAGGTTTTAGATAACGCAGAATGTCCCTCCTTGCCTGGAGAGTGACAGATAAGCTCCCGGGGTCAGGGTCTGACTCCCTCTACATCTGTGAAGGACAGGACAAACTGATAGTACTTAATAATGAAATAACACAGTAGTGATGGATAAAGAGAAGGTGCCAGAGGAACCGTCTTTCTCCTAGTTCTTTTCCAGCTCTGCCTTCAGTAATGTCACTCAAAGCACGTAGGGGCTGCCAATTAACTACATGCTCAAGTCTCCTCTTCGACCTGTCACTCAAGACCAAATGCACTGCTCTTCTGCAGTGGGTGGACCACCACTTCCCAGAGAAGCTAACACTGCACTCTTGCCCTTGAACCCATGTCTCCAGAATGGCTGTATGAATCTTTAGCTCAGGCCAGGAGATGATGTGTCTTGGAACCTGATTCCCAATCGCCTTGCACCTTGAGCAGTCATTCCCACCAGTGCAGAAGGATGTGAGACCATTCTGATTCAGTGGCATTTTATACCCACCTTACCCTGCTATCAATGATATCACAAGATTTGGGGCAGCAGAGAAGTGGGCTCTCTGGTTTCCTTGTCCAGTGCAGAGCCTTACCAGGGGCATGGTGTGTCGATGGGTAGAGGACCTTGGATCGCAGTAATGGCCTATCAACACTGAAATGTGCTGTGGGGAAGGTCTAGGAGGGACCTTTCTCAGGGGTTACAGGCCAGTGAAGTCAAAAGCAAAACTGAAATGGACTTCTTAGGACGCAAGAGGAGCCCCCAAGTGAGTTATTGCTGGGACAGGCATAGCGAGAGCCTATTCCAGGGGAGCAGGGACTGAAACCCAGGTCTGGGTGTCCCATCTTCTTCCTGGAGTGGATTAACAGCAGTCTGAGGGAGTCCTATCCTGCCCATGCTATGAAATAGACCACATCAAACCAGTGCTCTTTAACTCAGTTTGATCCTTCCTCTATGAACTGGACCAAACTGGGCTGTAACCTGCTCAGAGGTTACTAACCTGCATTAGTGCTGATCAGATTCCTAGGAGACATTTCCCCACAGAGTCCATGGCCTAATGATTCCCAACTGCACTCTCTGGGCTCCTGTGAACCAGACACCCCCTCTAGTTGGCTTTGTCAGGACACTGCCCTTGGTATGTCAGTGGCAGGAGCTGTAGGCAGTACGATTTACACCCGGTGAGGATCTGGCCCTGACAGACCTGAGGGAAGGGAAGCAGAAACTTTCCCAAAGCAGGGCTGTCTCACCTTAGTCATTCCTTCCTCGTTCATTTCCATCTTCTTCTTCAACTGCATCATTTGCCACATTTCCTCAGCAGGCTTGTTGAAGGGCTGGCTCCGGGCCAGCAGCTGTGCTGTGGTAGGGGGATTATTCAGATGGATCAGCTGACTTTCAACCCTTGTCAGCCTCTCCTGAAGCTGGTGAAAGAGCGAGCTGGATTTCCTCTCCAGGGGGACCTGCTCCTGGACCTGGCCTTCCGCTGTAAAGCTAGGGGCAGCCTGGAGAAAATCCCTCTCCTCCTGGGAGATCTCCTTCTTGATATCCTGGATCTGGAGGTGCTCCAGCAGGCCGTGTAGCAGGACATGCAGGGCATTGAAGTTGACGTTGCCGAGCTCAGGCGTGCCAATCGCAATGTTCACCAGCTCCGCGAACGTAACAGAGAAGCTCATTTTTCGTTCAGTCTCTGATCTTGGGAGACCAGCAGCTGTGAGCACTGAGGTGGCCTTGGTACAGTGAGGTTAGTTCCCAGGACCAGTCGTCCTAGGGATCCACAATAACACACCGTGATAGGCTCAAAGTTAATAAGTCAAGGCCATGGGCATGTGATTGGCTTATGGGAGCATCGGTCTGGTCTGAGTTCTCCTCTGAAAGTTTCTGCTGGTTGCTAGGATACCAAGGAACGTGCTGAGATCTGAAAGAAGATGGACAACTTAAGAAACGTGGCGAGATGGTGATGAATGGGGTGAGTCACTGTGCTGTTTGGCCATGGACCAGGGCAAATCAGAAGCACAGTGACACCTGGTACAGGAGTAAAGGAATGTGCTCTTGGAAGCAGGAGAGCCCGGTTGTTGAGAGCGTGAGGTAACTGTGGCTGGTTACCGAGGGATTCTTCTTGAAATTCCGTGCCTGTCTCTCTTGCACCCAGGATTTTACTCGGCTCCTAAGGATGAAATACAAACCGCTGGCAAAGGCAAATCCCCCCACTCTGGCAGGAGACTTAGACTGTGTAAAACAGCCCGGGATGCCCTCCATCAGAGCAAGAGTGTTTGCCCCAGCAGCATGACCAGATTCCAGTGGGAAGGATTATATGGCACCTGCCTAAGCTGACCCTCATCATGTCAGCTGGAAAAAGATGCTCCTTGCTTTTCTGTCCTTGGCACGTCAGGGTAATTCTACCTTCCTGGCATCCAGGAAAGTCTCTGTTCTCAGGGCCTGCCTGGCACCCTGGTCACTTCTATAGAAACGGCTTGCTGGTCCTGGTTTCTGCAGCCCTCATCAGACTCTGGCAACCTGAGGGAGCTTCTGGCCAGCTGAGCCAGCAAAATGCCACAGGCTGGCTGAGAATGGGGGGTCCCTTGGGCCATGCCTCTCTGGGCTGCCATCTGGCAGGATGACCCCCCTGAGCCATGCAGGGAATTGCCAAGCCCCAGCTTTTTTCCCCGGGTTATTATTTTGTAGCATCTAGGAGCCCCAGGCTCAATAGGATCCTGATGCCATCAGATCCCTTAGGTGGCATAATAATAATTAATTGGCAGGCACCCTTTCCCCCTCCCCTCAAGCTCCCACATCCCTCCCCAATGCACCTTCTTGACTCCCACCTAGACCCCCTCTTTCCTGCACTCTCCTGTCCCCACCTCCCTGTAATAATTGCTTTGAAAAGCTGGTCATCCCAGAGCTGGCTGCATTACAAGGATGGGTGAAAGGGTCCCTCTCTGGCGTGGTGTGTTCAGGGATTCTCCTGGATGACAGCCACTACAAGGAACATGTCTGGGCCAGATTCTGCCAGCAGTTAGCCCAGGGTAAATCTCGAGTCACTCAATGGACTTGACTGGAGTTGCCCAATGTAGAGTAACTCCAATGGAGTCAGTAGAGTTACTCAGATTTAGGCAGGTGTAACTGACAGCAAAGTCTGCCCCATGATCTTTACATAAAACCCAGGACTTCCTAACTTGTATTTTTAGCCTTGGGCTACACTAACTCCAAAATACAACCCTAATACAATAAAGAGAGCACCAGATTGACCGGTGAATTCTGCCTGATTTGCAAAGCAGCTTTACACCCAGCGCAACTGGTCGGCTGCACTGGGGTTATGGCTGCTCTGCCTCACCCAGCTCCGATCAGCAAATCTGCTGGCCCACTGTCCGTAGCTCAGTGCGCTGCATTGTTATTTTGGTTTCTGCACAAAACAGTCACATTCCAGTTCTTCCCTGTAGGCTGTGTCTAGATGGCACCATGGTAAAAACGCCTCTGTCCTGGATATATCCCCATTGCTGGAGATTTCCTGACAAACATAGTGAAGTCAAGAGCTAAGAGATCACATGTGCTTAGTCCACGGAGTATAGGTCACAGCAGTCTGGGAATTCAGCATGGAAGAGAGCTAACGCCTATGAGTTGCCACCATACCCTCCCCACCCCCTTCCCACTTGTTTGTCTCTGCCATGTGGTATGTCTGGTCTTTAGACCATCAGCTCTTTGGGGCAGGGACTCTCATTTGCCACCTGTAGGTACAATGGAGTCCTGATCAGCTGGGCCTATAGGTGTCAAGCTGTCTGGAGTGGCCCAAGAAGGTGAGTGCCAACCTCAGGGCAGTCTGTTAGAAACCAGGGCACAAACCCCAAATTGGCTGTGAGTTCTTGTGACGCAGTGCACTCGGCCCTTTGAGGCCCCTTGCTGGAGGCCCTACAGTCCTACCACACACCGCCCCAGGAAGAAGCAGAAAAGGTCCTCCAGGCCTGCCCAAAAAGGCTGCACAGAAGCAGCCAATCAGAGCACAGCAGGCTCAGTTAAAAGAAGCTATAGGGGCTAAGTAGGGCAGTCCCTGGCTGGGACCAGATGAGGAGGGGTGGAGGCGGCTAATATTCATATACAAATACCTCTGATGGCAAAGGAGGCATGTTATTAGCACAATCAGTATCAGAGTTGTCACGCCATAAACAATAATGGTGCATTTAACATCTTTGAGTCAGCAGTATAGTTTGTCCCCTCACTACAAAGAAAATGTATTTTTACCAAAGGGTAATTAACATGCATTAGCTATCCCACTGTAAAAACATAGTGGACACAGGGTATTTTAATTTCACCAAAAGACAAACTATACCTCCTGCTCACCAATGCAAAGGTGTAACACAATCATTTATTTTAAAAAATCCCTGATTTCAGCAGTACAAAACAGTAAACTTGTCAGAATGAAAAACATCACTTCAATGTATCATAGCAAAATATGTAACGTACATAAAAGGCTATAAATGTCAGATATGGATTTAGAAATATAAACAATTCAATAGAAAAATCACCATCTATGTATGCAACAAGTGAAGTAACAGATGAGTAAAGCATGTTGTTCAGTGTCTGCAGGATGGGGGATTGGTTATACAAATAAGTATTTTTCATAAATTTTCAGTTAAAAGGGGAAGGAGGGGGCAGAATCACATGCTAATGGCAGTCCAAAATAGTACCGAATATTATAGGAATGTACAAACGTTTTAGGTATATTGATTTTAGGATGCAGATTCTTTGAGAAAGAAAAGGAGTACTTGTGGCACCTTAGAGACTAACCAATTTATTTGAGCATAAGCTTTCGTGAGCTACAGCTCACTTCATCGGATGCATACTGTGGAAAGTGTAGAAGATCTTTTTATATACTCACAATGCATGAAAAAATACCTCCTCCCACCCCACTCTCCTTCTGGTAATACACTTTCCACAGTATGCATCCGATGAAGTGAGCTGTAGCTCACGAAAGCTTATGCTCAAATAAATTGGTTAGTCTCTAAGGTGCCACAAGTACTCCTTTTCTTTTTGTGAATACAGACTAACACGGCTGTTACTCTGAAACCTGTCTTTGAGAAAGGTAACAGCAGAAGTATGATGCTGGTGCACCATCCACGACTCCAACACAAGAAAGCAAATAAAAAATATGTGTATGTGTGTCTATATTTTTCAATTTCATAACTTTTGGTGCACAACCCATGACTTTTGAATTCTTGCGGCCGTGAGGGGGTGAGAGAACCTGGATTTGTGCAGGAAATGGCCCAACTTGATTATCATGCACATTGTGTAAAGAGTTGTCACTTTGGATGGGCTATCACCAGCAGGAGAGTGAATTTGTGTGGGGGGGTGGAGGGTGAGAAAACCTGGATTTGTGCTGGAAATGGCCCAACCTGATGATCACTTTAGATAAGCTATTACCAGCAGGACAGTGGGGTGGGAGGAGATTCTCTAAGGTGCCACAAGTACTCCTTTTCTTTTTGTCTATCTCAGGGTTATCCATCTGTGTAAGAACGACAGTGGAGTCTGCCTACAGACTAGCAGCCACAGAACCCCCTGGGCCAGGCTTGTCCAGGTGTGTGGGTCGCAGCGAGTGACAAGGGCCGTCAGATGATCTCAGTCTCACCAAGCACCTAAACAACAGCTGGACTAACCCGGCCCTAGAGCCTGGTCTGACCTTCACCCCGTGCGCTCCCTTTGCTCCTCCCCCGGCCGCCAGCTGGCTGAGTCTGACCCGCTCCTGCACAGGCTCCGCCCATCCCCCCTCCTCCCCTCGGATTGGCCCCGCACTGCTAGCCGCAGGGACGCCGCTGTCATCCCAAGTGAGGGCAGAGCAGGGCCCCCAGCTTCAGCGGATGTTACTGCGCATGCACAGCTTCCCAGTGCGCATGCTCAGTCATAGCAAGGCAGTAGAACGGAGCGGATTCTCTCGCTACCTCCCGCCGCTGGTCTGTAACGGGCCTCCCGCGCTGCCGCCTTGCTATCCGGTAGGTGACGCGTGAGGCGAGGGGGGCCGGGTGGTTCCGACAACGGGGCGGCAGTGCCCCCTCGTCTCGGTGCCTGCGCCGCGCTCCCTCAACAGGGTTGGGGCAGTAGGGACTTGGGCGCTTCCCACAGGGTAGCTCCGCTCCCCGCGCGGGGCATGCCGGGGTCTGTAGTCCGGCCGGGCCTAGCGCTCCGGGGAGAGCCGGGAGAGGGGATGGGTCGAGAACTACAACTCCCAGCGGCCGCCGCGACGCGACCAACCTGCCCCTGTGAGGCAGCAAGCCTTCGAGCGGCCCGGGGCCCGGCCCATGGCGGGGGGTCTCTGGGCACCGCTCGGCAGCCAGAGCCGGGCTGGGGGGCGCCCCGGGGGGCCTGTGGACTCCAGCGCGTTGCGGCACCACCTGGCGGCTCGCTGTGGAGCCGGCACTGTCCGGATCCGCGTCCCCCTGGGGCTGGAGCTGCGCCCCCTGCCCCGGGCACAAGTCGGGGGCAAACTGCAGGGGCCGGGGCGGCTGGCGAGCCTGGGGCATGAGAGGAGCCGCTAGTCGGGTTGAGCTGTCTGAAGGATGTTGTTGGGGTGTGTCTGCGGGGCAGCATCCCCCCCGCTGTGTCTCTGTTTACTTTCCTGTAAGGAACTGGTGAAAATCAACTGGGCTGCTGCGTGCCCTGTGAGCCCAATCCCTAAACCATGACCCGGGGGGAAACGTTATGCAGGTCTTACAGGCTCCTATCTTGTGAGGCAAAGCAAAAGTCAGGCTCTCAGCCACGCACCCCACTTGTGATACACAGCCATAAAAATACTTTATGCTTGTAGAGCTCCTTCAGTGTGAGCAGCATAAAGTGGTTTAGAGAAGTGGAAAATCATAAATAGGTGGAAACTGAGATCAAGTGTAAGGCCTTGGCAGTGCATGAACATTGTCTCATTTTAACAGGACTAGTATAGAATCATAGAAGGTCAGGGTTGGGAGGGACCTCAGGAGGTCATCTAGTCCAACCCCCTGCTTGAAGCAGGACCAATCCCCAATTTTTTCCCCAGATCCCTAAATAGCCCCCTCAAGGATTGAATGTGGGGCAACTTCCTGGTGTGGATCCGGTATCAGAGTGCTTGTACCAGTATAGAATTACATCCACTCTTGGGCTTGTACTGGGATACCTAAATTGGTTTAAAAAAAATTATACCCCTAACCAAAATAGTTACAAAACGTCTGTGTAGAGCAGGCCTTAGTGACTTGCCCAGGGTCACCGAATGAAGCAGTGATATAGTCAGAAATGCTGTGCCAGAAGTCCTGATTTCCTGTCCTGTACACTAACAGCTGTCCTTAATTTTTAGCAAAACAGCTACTATTTTTTCCATTCTGTCCATACACTCAATTCCAGATTTTTGGATTTCAATTATATTAAAAGGTGTGCCTTGGATTGTCTCCCAAATATCCCAGATTTTTTTTCAAATATCTTATATTGTAGTTTTCAGTTATTTCCTGGTATGACTCATATGAAGGAAAGTAGGTACAAAATGTTGTAAGTGTGGTTTCATGGGTATGAGGCCTTTGATTAGAGATTTATATTATTACTGAGTTTGAAAATGGTTTCATAAGTACAGTTTTTTTTCATGCACTAGCAAAGAATTCCACTAAACTTTTCATGAGTGCTTTGTAAATTGTAGCATTCCATGTCATGACAAAAATGGTTCACTTTTAACAGATGACAGACTTGATTAAATGTGGTAATGTTTTCTTTGGTGCACTTTTAAAACTTTATTGTAACTCTCATACAAGGTTTAAAAAAACCCTTCTTTATAATAGAAGTTATTCTGAGGCACTCATAACTTATTCAGAAGCACTTTGTGAACACTTCGAACATCAAGATCATTCCCCTTTGGCATCCTTTGGGCCTAATATGCCAAAATATTTGGAGTTCCACTTTGACATGGCATTGCTCTGAGCTCACCTTTATGTATTTACAAAGAAGGCCTTCCCCCTTTTCAAGTGAACCTGAGTGAGGTGGGGTAGGAAATAACTGTTTGGGGAGAAAGTGGTGATTAGTTATTGTTAACTTGTAAACAACTGGCGATGTGCTCTACCCTTATATAAGATCATGCTCTAAAGGTCTTTCAGTCAAAAATCTGTAACTGAGAAGACTGCAGGCCCCTATAGACACAGAGACAGGATTAAAATGACTTATTTTTTTCATTTCTTTTAGGTATCATGTAAGAAGTGAATCTTTAGGAGGGGTTTGAAACCAGAGAGGGGCTGGGGAGTGGTAAATGAGTGGAGTACTGCGATAGCCATCAATGGAGGAAGGAAGTGGGTGAAGTTCATGCATATAAACTAGTTCAGAGACTATAGGCCAGAGCACAGTTCTGAAGGACTTTGAGAGTGAGAACAAGAGTTTAAACCTGATGTGGTGGATAATGGGGGAAAGAAAGGGAAGGAATTCAAAGATGGGCATGACATGGTCTGAATGATGGGCAAGATCATAATTCTAGCAGGTGCATTTTGGAAATACAAGAGTAGTGATGTGAGTATTGGGGAGACAGGAGGAGGAAGTTGTAATCAGTGGTGCCTGTTCCTTTTTAAAGTTGAGGAGGGGGTCTTTCAGCCATGTTACTGACCCTGCATGTCCATGGCACTGGTAATTTCCAGAGCACACCTTTTAATTCTTTCACCCTGTCATATTGCAATGTGGGTGGCACAGGCAAATGCAGTTGTCTCATTTGTATTTAAAATGGGGGGTAATGTCAAATCTATATTAATTGCCTCTGATGTCAGTGCAGCTTTACACAGTTGGAAGCCTGAAAGGGGATGGGGGGTGAAGGGCCTTTTTTCTTTGATAGTAGAAAACTCAAAGGAAGGCCTGAGTTTGAATCAGTTTGGGAAGTAGAACAGAATGAGTGTGTCTGCTGTTAAATTCCTCAAGCTTCTGTTCTAACCTATTGGTGATCCTTACTGGATACTTTAGAAAGCAAAAAGCACTGAGGAACTTTATTATGTAAAAACTGATTTTTGTTGTTCCATGTAGAAAATACTGTTAAAAGCAGTGACTAATGCACAGCTCTTCCCAGTCTGGGGGTGGTTTGGCTTTGAAAGGAGACACAAGATACACACAGTCCTTTAGCATGTGCTCTGATCCAGAGATATTTGGTTGGAATATATGTAGCAAAGAGGTTGCAACTGGACCGTTTTGGAGAAGTTCCTTAATGCCCTCTTAAAAGGCCTATATTAGAGTTATAGGCTATGTCAAAGTTCCTTCCCCACTCTGAACTCTAGGGTACAGATGTGGGGACCTGCATGAAAACCTCTTAAGCTTACTTTTACCAGCTTAGGTTAAAACTTCCCCAAGATACAAACTATTTTACCCTTTGCCCTTGGACTTCCACTGCCGCCACCAAACATTTAACCGGTTACTGGGAAAGAGTTGTTTAGAAACGTCTTTCCCCCAAAAATCCTCCCAACCCTTACACCCCACTTCCTGGAGAAGGTTTGGTAAAAATCCTCACCAATTTGCATAGATGACCACAGACCCAAACCCTTGGATCTTAAGAACAATGAAAAAGCATTCAGTTTCTGAAAAGAAGAATTTTAATAGAAGTAAAAAGAATCACCTCTGTAAAATCAGGATGGCAAATACCTTACAGGGTAATTAGATTCAAAACATAGAGAATCCCTCTAGGCAAAACCTTAGGTTACAAAAAGACAGGAATATCCATTCCTTTCAGCACAGCTTATTTCCTCCGCCATTTAAAGAAATCATAATCTAACGCATATCTAGCTAGATTACTTACTAAGTTCTAAGACTCCATTCCTGTTCTGTCCCTGGCAAAAGCATCACACAGACAGACCAAGACTATTTGTTTCTCCCTCCCCCCAGCTTTTGAAAGTATTTTGTCTCCTCATTGGTCATTTTGGTCAGGTGCCAGCTAGGTTATCCTAGCTTCTTAACCCTTTACAGGTGAAAGGGTTTTTCCTCTGGCCAGGAGGGATTTTAAAGGTGTTTACCCTTCCCTTTATATTTATGACAGGCTGTAATATAGATAATTGCTATAATCTGAAAGAGAGTGTGTTGGGATCTAAAGAAGTTTATTAAAATCTAATCTTTAAATGATTTTTGTAGGACCTAGAACAAAACAGAGTTTTGTCCTCCCCTGCTGACATCACTTCCAGAGTTCTGTGAACATAATGTCTGATGTGGCTGAACAAAGTTTGAGTTTGAGGTTGTGAGGCACTCTATTAGTTATTAAATACAAACAGGCATCTTAAGTTTAGTGTTGTGTAATGTTTGCCAAGTGCGAATAGGACAAAATGGCAGCCTGATAACATGGTGATTAGAATGAAATCATTAGAATGGGGGGTACATGCAGCAGTGGCAGAATTTACATTTTCAAGCTTCTAAACTGGCATACTAAACTGCTGGGTAAAAAACAAACCATGTACTTGCAGGTGCAATGCTTCCCCAGACTGAACGTGGCTGGGTGGTTGGTTGGGTGGTTTTGTTTTTGTGGCTGAGCTGATTCTGTTGTTCTGATCCCCTCCCCACACAACCTTTAATCATCTCTCCTAACTTAACTACATAGGAGGCTTGGACAGGATGTCCTGCTTGCACCCAAGGTGAGGAAGGGTGGTGAAAAGGTAATGGAAGCAAGCCTTGTGTTGCAGCTCTTAGGTAGTAAGATGATCTCTGTATCTGTGACATCATAGAGGAAAGCTTTAAATCTAGTTCTCTTCCATCCCCCCTCATGGCAGAAATGATATTTTATATGAAACATACCTATTGTATCAATTCATTTTTTAATAGGCAAAAGGTTGATTAAGGGCCTGACCCAGCAGCTTTTATGCAGGCAAAGCTCACTAAAATAAAGCTGATTGAAGGATCAGGCCCTTGAGCACTTTTATTTTCAGAGAGCAAGAGTGTCAACTTCTATCTTTTGATACAATATTTACATTGTTCTTCTTGTGCTTTGATTTCTGACAGAAGTAATTTGTGATCATGTGCAAACCAGAAAGAA